CATGTGATAAAAGGTGCCTTCTTTTTCTTTGTACTTCCAACATAAATTATCATTTGTGTGGTAAATCTTTGCTAATTTTACCGGGGTTAAGCACCATCTATACATCATTTTCCTAATGTTTTCTTTTAATACCGTACATGCAGTAAACTTAACCCCCTTTCTTCCACAACCTTTCCCAGTCTTCCAACATTATATTGTGTCCAACATCTCTTGCCCAGGGGTTTTCCTGACTTGGTGAATGACTTGGCAGTGGTCTCCAGAAGCCCCACTCTGGTCCCGGGTGTCAAGGATGGAGAAGAATAAATCCCGCAGAGCATCTGGTGGGAGTCTTTGGATTCCTAGGAAACTCTCTGCTTTGCAGTCCAGCTGAGCTGTTTTCCTCTGCCCCCACCTGCCCCAAATGCACACAGGAAACCCCATCTGTTTCTAAGCTCAGGGCCAAACCAGGCAGGATGTGGGAGATCTAAGATGCAGCATTTGTGACTTTCTAGTTTAGAGAAAAGGCGAGTAAGACATGACAGGAGTTTTTAAGACGAAACCTGGCATGCAGAAAGTGGATAGAGATAAGCTTTTACTCCCTCTCTCGTAACACTAAACTTTTGGAAATCCAATGAAGCTGAACATTGGGAGATTCAGGACAAGATGAAAGAAAGGACTTATTCACACAACACAGAGTTAAAACTCTGGAACTTGCCATTAGAGGTCTGCAAAATCGCCATTGAATTGAACTTGCTCCGGCAAATCCTCCCCCGCCCCATTCCCATACACCGGAGCCAGTGGCGTAGCGTGGGGGTGCAGGGGGGGCCGGCCGCACCGGGCGCAACATCTGGGGGGGCGCGCTCACCGCCTCCGGAGTCACCGAAGAGCCTCGGGCGCAGGCTGTAGCAGAGCCCCATGTCTCGCGGAACCAACAAGCTGGCAGCGGCTCTCAGCGCTCGCTGCGGTCCCCGCGCGTCAGGGCCACGGAGGGCGCGCCAGGCAGCCCCCCTGAGCCAGTGCACTGCTGGAGATGGTCTTGCTGTTCCTGGCCTGGTTAGGACGGCTCTCTGTCTTGCCTGCTGAGTCCCCATCACCCAGCATGATCCGGGCAGTGCCTTTGGCAAAAACCCTTGGCTGAGAAAGCAGACCAGAGAGGTAGCCAGCCCTGGCAGTGTGCTTCCAGGGGGTGTCTTGCATGCGCTGCTCAAGGGGTGTGCGCTGGCTGTGCCCCCCCCAGCTGCATTGTTTAAGGCAGCAAGCCTCAGGTGGAGCACTGTGGGAGAGGTGGCCTGCCCAAGTGCCCCCTTGGCTCGCTTGTGGCCCTCAGGTGCTGGGGAGGGCAAATTGTTTGTTTGTTTATTACCTGCCCTTCACCCTAAGGTTTGAGCATGGGTAACAACGCGGGTGGCGCTGTGGTCTAAACCACAGAGCCTAGGGCTTGCCAATCAGAAGGTCGGCGGTTCGAATCCCCGCGACGGTGTGAGCTCCCACTGCTCGGTCCCTGCTCCTGCCCACCTAGCAGTTCAAAAGCACGTCAAAGTGCAAGTAGATAAATAGGTACCGCTCCGGTGGGAAGATAAACAGACTTTCCGTGCGCTGCTCTGGTTCGCCAGCTTAGTCATGCTGGCCACATGACCTGGAAGCTGCCTGCGGACAAACGCCAGCTCCTTCAGCCTACAGCGCGAGATGAGCACTGCAACCCCAGAGTCGTCTCTGACTGGACATAACGGTCAGGGGTACCTTTACCTTTAACAGCATTGAAGCACAATATTAATAACAACTAAAAACAACTTACGACCATCTTCCAAAAGCCGTACAATGCAGATACCAGATGCACCTTTGCAGGGAGGGAGTTTCACAGTTAAGGGGACACCACAGAGAAGGCCCTGTTGCCCGGGCCACCACCATGCCAAGCCTCCTAGGGCGGAGGAACTACCCAGGGGTCCCCCTGTTCTGATCTTGGAGGCAGCCTCTCAGGTCTTTGGAGCCTGAGTCATTTAGGCCTTTAAACACCAGGGCTTTTTCCCAGCTGGAACTCAGTTCCGGCACCTCTCAGGCAGACGCCATTGCCATTCTAAGAGAACAAGGGAGGCGTTCATGGTGAGTTCCGGCACCTCTTTTTCTAGAAAAATAGCACCGTTAAACACTAATGTGAGCACCTTAATTGGGTCCGGAAACAGCACAGCTGTTTCAAAATGGGTTCTATGAGATCTAAGTGGAACCTCAGCCAGCCAGCTCCTGTATTTTGGACTGACCAAAGTTTCTGAGTCATCTTCAAGGGCAGCCCCACACAGTGCATGTTGCAATGATCCAGTCCGGCAAACCAGCCAGAGCTGAAGAAAGGCACCCCCAGCCACTGCTGCCAGTCTGGAAGAGACAACGGCACAGCAGTTTGGAAATAGGATGGGGGTGGAGATAACATTTTCTCCTTTGCTTTGTGCTAGTCTTGAGCTTCCTTGCTGAACAGCCCCAGAAGCTGTTGCAGAAACAGACAGCTGTCAGGCTGGTTAGGAAAGCAGCTCAGAGGAGGCAGGAAATTCAGAATTTCGTCAGCCGCTCTGCTGGGAGGTGGCGATATTCTTAGTGCTTCTGTTTCGCTCCCCCCCAACCCAAGAACAATGCTTGGCGGATGCAGCAGCGGATACAGCAGTCTTAAGACTTCTGGGCTTCCTGCTTTGCGTCTTCAGGCAGATACAAAGCAAGATTTGTGGACACCTGTTAGGCTACAGCAGCCAAAACAAGAGATTATGCCCAGAGGTGGCGTAAGATGAAATCCCAGAGAACAAGGGGAAAGAAGATGGGGTTCAGAGGGGCATTCGGCACAGGAATCAGATTCAGTGCTGGAGAGCTTTGTCTTTCCCTGTTAAGTATCTATTTTTTAAAAAAAGATATTTATTCAAATTTTACAAAATAGAAAACATAAGTTTACAAAGTAGAGAAAATTATAACAACAATTAACAAACTAAAATTATAACAACAGTTAACAAACTAAGAAAAAACACACATAGAAAAAAGAATAAAAAGGGTACAAAATGCAAAAAAAAAAAAAAACAGGCAGTTGAAAAAGAAATTTATAAAGAAAAAACATCCATTTTTCAATATCTTTGGACTCATTTACTTGTTTCCTTGACCTCCTCTCACCTCCCCTTTTTGTATTCCCATTCACAAAGACATTTCAGCAAATCCTTACCCTCTTTCAACCATCTTTACTCTATATCTTAACCTATTATAACTATATATTTTCATTCATTATCAATCCGTATTTGCATATTCTTGTTAATCTTAATACCATTACCACTTATTTTAAATCCAACATCATTTTAGCATTCATTAATTTTACAGTATTTCTGCAAATAGTCTTTAAATTTCTTCCAGTCTTCTTCCACCAACTCTTCTCCCTGGTCTCGTTTCCCTGTTAAGTATCTAGTCCTTAAGATATGTGTGATGCCTGTGAAAATTTCAGAAGCTGGACGGCTAATGTGTGGTCAGCTGGAGGGCGTCAGTGCTCTACAAAACCCTTTGTGTCACTTAGCAATGTACAGGTTCACTCCAAATTGCATAGCATAGCTTGGACTACTGCAATGTGTTCTACGTGGGGCTACCTTTGAAGGTGACCCAGAAACTGCAATTAATCCAGAATGCGGCAGCTAGACTGGTGAGTGGGAGCAGCCGCCGAGACCATATAACACCAGTCTTGGAAAACCTACACTGGCTCCCAGTACGTTTCCGAGCACAATTCAAAGTGTTGGTGCTGACCTTTAAAGCCCTAAACGGCCTCGGTCCTGTATATCTGAAGGAGCATCTCCACCCCCATCGTTCAGCCCGGACACTGAGATCCAGCGCTGAGGGCCTTCTGGCGGTTCCCTCATCGCAAGATGTGAGGTTACAGGGAACCAGACAGAGGGTAGTGGCGCCCGCCCTGTGGAACGCCCTCCCTTCAGATGTGAAGGAAATAAGCAGCTATCTTCTCTTTAAAAGACATCTGAAGGCAGCCCTGTTTAGGGAAGTTTTTAATATTTAATGCTGTATTGTTTTTAATACTTGATTGGAAGCCGCCCAGAGTGGCTGAGGAGGCTCAGCCAGATGGGTGGGGTATAAATAATAAATTATTATTATTATTATTATTATTAGTAGACAGAATACATTATGCCAAAGAAAAGGCACCGTATTTTTCGCTCTATAAGATGCACCAGACCATAAGACGCACCTGGTTTTTGGAGGAGGAAAAAAAATATTCTGAATCTCAGAAGCCAGAACAGCAAGAGGGATCGCTGGCACAGTGAAAGCAGCGATCCCTCTTGCTGTTCTGGCTTCTGGGATAGCCGCGCAGCCTGCATTCGCTCCATAAGACGCACACACATTTCCCCTTACTTTTTAGGAGGGAAAAAGTGAGTCTTATAGAGCAAAAAATACGGTAATTCATGGAGGAGAGGGTTATTGGGTGGCTTCTAGCCATAATGGTTCCTGAATGTTTTAATTGTTATTTTTATATTCCAGTGTGTGTGTGTGTGTGTACACAACATACACACCTTCACAGATTTGTGTATGATTTGATTTGTGTAACCCACCTCAAGTGTCTGTCCGGTCAGAAGACGAATGACATAAACATAGTAATGCAGTAAGGCCTAGGTGGGCAGTCCATCCACCCCTATTTCGCTCAGATAGCTTCAGGAAAACATGCAGGGCTAATTCTGCTCTTTTTGATCCCTCCCTCGCTGCAATCCATGGATCTGAAACCATTTGTTGTGTTGTTTAGTCGTTTAGGTGCCAGTCGTCCATGCCAGACAAGACTCTCCTATACTCCCAGAGGTTAGCCTCGGAAACACAACAGCAGGGCTTCCTCTTTTCTGCATCTTTTGGATTCCCCTCCCTCACCCCTGACATCATGGATCTGAAACCCATTAGAGGTCTGCAAATCGCCATTGGAATTGAGCGAACGATCAGGATGTTCTTTTCATTTATCTCAGAAAGTAAATTGTTGTGTGCTTTAAAGGAGTTTCCTGCCTCCCCTTTCGCCACAGGCCTCTCTTCCTGATGAAAGACACATTCCAAGGATGGACTACATAAGCGAGAACTACCCGGTCCCTTGTGGGCACGACAAGTACATTTCGAAGTAAGTCGGAGGCTGGCTGCGTGTCCCAGGCAGACCTTTTGTTCTTTGCAGCTGGCACCAATCCCTGAGGTCTGGTGTGGTGCTGTATAACTGCATGCGCGTGCAAGGAAGGGAGGAGAGACCTGAGTACCGGCAACTTGCATCTTACGCTAATCATATTTACGCAATGGAGTGGCGGGGTGAATAAATAGAGAATGGGGGAAACCCACCAATCCTTGCTCTCCAGTTATTTATGTTCTCCGCACACCCAGAGAGTCTCCCTCACTTTTTCGGGCTTTGGGAAGGAGGCATGAGGACTCAAGGATGCTCTGTGAGCCCTCACACCGCCTTTCCAGTGGCGTAGCGTGGGTTGTCAGCACCCGGGGCAAGGCAAGTAATTTGCGCCCCTAACCCGCGGATTTGTGCCCCCTAACCCGTGGATTTGCGCCCCCTAACCTGTGGATTTGCCCTAACCCCAGATGTTGCGCCCGGTGCGGCCGGCCCCCCCTGCACCCCACACGCTACGCCACTGCGCCTTTCCAAAGCCCAGTAAGCAAGGGGCTGTCTTCTCCACCGGAATCTGGGACAGTTCTGGAGGCCGGTAAGGAAGGCGTTGTCTCACTTAGTGGGCTCCTTGAAGAAGAAGAAGAGTTTGGAATTGATACCCCGCTTTATCACTACCCTAAGGAGTCTCAAGACGGCAAACATTCTCCTTTCCCTTCCTCCCCCACAACAAACACTCTGTGAGGTGAGTGGGGCTGAGAGACTTCAAAGAAGTGTGACTGGCCCAAGGTCACCCAGCAGCTGCATGTGGAGGAGCGGGGAAGCGAACCCGGTTCACCAGATTACGAGTCCACTGCTCTTAACCACTACACCACACTGGCTCTGGCCCTCCTGCGACCTTCCCAGAGCAAGATAAAGAGTCCTCCCCCTGTGGGTTGGGGGCAGTTCCAGGGGCTCCTGGCTTCATGTGATATTGCGTTTACACACTGACAGCCAGAACCAAACTGCTGCGTAAGCTGTGAGTTGCCTGTATGTCATGAAGCTGTGGACACAGGTGAAATGAGGGCAGTTACAACCAGCCATTCATTTCTAGCCTAGAGAACTCCCTCCAGGAAGATGGACTTTGAGTGCATGCAATCTCTCTCTCTCTCTGATTAAATTTTGTTTTACAATTTCAAATACTTATTTTGCATCCTTGATAGATCAATGACTTCCCTTCTTTTCTTTCCGTGTTTCATTTTACATATATTAAATCCCTGCATATTTTACAAAAACTATACCATGATTATTTCATCCATCGAAACTTATTTACACTGTTGAATTTATCTTAATGCTGCCAGCATTTTCAGCTGTATACAATTATATCCCCTATGTTCAATAAACGTTTTCCAATCTTCTTTAAACATACGTTCTTCTTGTTCTCTTATTCTATATGTTAAGTCTGCAAGTTGTGCGCATTCTGTCAGCTTAAGTTGCCATTCTTCTTGGGTTGGGACCTCGCTCGTTTTCCATTTGAGGGCTAACAAAACATGGGCCACAGTGGTGGCATACATAAATAACCTTTCCTGACACCTGGGGATTTCATTCTGAATTATCCCAGACAGAAAGGACTCTGAAAGGACTCTCAGAAAGTGCATGCAGTTTTCTGATGGGACAATGAAATGTGTGGTGGGAGAAGCATGTTCTGTGGAACCTTGGCTTTCCTTGGAGGCTTCTCAGGAGAGCCATGAAAGCAGAGCAAGTTTGGGGGTCAGGGGTCAGCTCCAATTTCCTTAAATATTTTATTGCAAAAAGCAGCAACTTTTGGACAAAGCCACCACATGTGGCAAAATGAGCCGGACAGCTCTTCCATTTGCTCTTCTAACAGCTCTTGTTCCACATCTTCCAGAAATGAACTGCTGTTGCACTTGAAGACCTACAACCTCTACTACGAAGGCCAGAACTTGCAGCTCCGGCATCGAGAGGTGAGAGAACCTTTCTACGCAGAGACAAGTTAGGGGAGAATGTTGTGACCAGGGGTGTGTGACCTGGGCATGATTCCAAAAATGAAACTCTGCACCCAAGTCACCAGAACTCCTCGCCTAAAGGAGCTGGGTCCTGCAAACGGTGTAATGCATGCAAAAAGGCTCATAGGTGCATGCTTTTTGAATTATTGCAGTGCAGAGTTTACTCTTCAGTTTTAATTCCAGTTTTACTATTTTTGAACTGTGCAAGGCCCCGAAACTCTGACACCCCCAGACTCTGGGATTTTCCTTTGGCCTCCCTGTTTTCCCAGCTTCTGAGAATTCAGCATGTGCTGCCCATGCCTTTAATTCAGGAGGGCTAGAAACCTGCTTTTAAAAACTAAAATGATCCTTCTAGTGGAATACAGTATGATTACATCATATGTGCGTTTAACTCGCGCAGTTTCAGCCACATGCGGTTGAAGTGGGGCTGGCTTAAAGTGTGCAAGTTAAATGTAAGCAAGGCGGAGAGCTCAAAAGCTCTTTTTGCACCAGGTCTGCTGGCGGGAAAAGCAATTAAGTGGTATGTAAATCTTATGAACCAAAATAAATATAGTTGAAACCAGCATCCTTTCTTTTGGTGCTTGCTTTTATTTTCACTTTATAATACACAAAAAGCAATGGCAGCAACAGTCAAGAGAAAGAGAAAAGAGCAAACCAAGAGAGGGGGGGGGAAGAAAAGATATGAGGATAAAGGAGGGAATGGTACTATTCCAAAATCAGTGTTATAATTCCAGACAATTGTCCTTCAAGAGTAAAGGTAAAGGGTAAAGGGACCCCTGACCATTAGGTCCAGTCGTGGCTGACTCTGGGGTTGCGGTGCTCATCTCGCTTTATTGGCCAAGGGAGCCGGCGTACAACTTCTGGGTCATGTGGCCAGCATGACTAAGCCGCTTCTGGTGAACCAGAGCAGCGCACGGAAACGCCGTTTACCTTCCCGCCGGAGCGGTACGTATTTATCTACTTGCACTTTGACGTGCTTTCAAACTGCTAGGTTGGCAGAGCAGGGACCGAGCAACGGGAGCTCATCCCGTTGTGGGGATTTGAACCGCCAACCTTCTGATCGGCAAGACCTAGGCTCTGTGGTTTAACCCACAGCACCACCCGTGTCCCAACCTTCAAGAGTACATTATCCAATAATGTTTCTCCATAGGAGCGCATGAGAAGAGGGTGGCTGCCAGCCATGTTCCTTTACCTTAATGTATTCAGTAAATGGATGCCAAACTTACGAAAAGCTGTTCTTCATTTTCAGATAGCCCAGGGTTTGGGTATATTTTGTTAACATTTCCGTTAGAGCTGTGGTCCAGCTCTGGAGGTAGAACCAGCATCCTTGGGGCTTGGGGAAGTTTTTTGCAGCATCCCTGGAGCAGGCCAGCTTCTGGACCATCCCTCAGTCCCTTCTCTCATGTGCCCTCTAGGAAGAAGGGGAGTTCATTGTGGAGGGCTTGCTGAACATCTCCTGGGGGCTGCGCAGGCCCATCCGCTTGCAGATGCAGGATGACAACCAACGCATCCGCCCGCCGCCTTCGTCCTCCTCCTGGCATTCCGGCTGCAACCTGGGAGCACACGGGTCAGTACACAATCCAGGGCATGTTTGTGTGAGGGTGTGTGAAAAAAATATCTAGGGGTCTTAGCAGACCAGTGGCGTAGCGTGGGTTGTCAGCACCCGGGGCAAGGCAAGTAATTTGCGCCCCCTAACCCGTGGATTTGCGCCCCCTAACCTGTGGATTTGCCCTAACCCCAGATGTTGCGCCCGGTGCGGCCGGCCCCCCCTGCACCCCCCACGCTACGCCACTGTAGCAGACCACAAGCTTAACATGAGTCAAGTGTGACGCAGCAGCAAAAAAAAGCTGTTGACATTTGAGGCTGCATCAACAGAAGGCGAGTTTCCACATCAAGGGAAGTCATAGTCCTGCTCCCTTCTGCCTTGGTCAGAGTCCTTTGTCCAGTTCTGGGCACAACAATGTAAGAAGGAGCTAGAACGTGTGCAGAGGAGGGCGACCAAGATGATCAAGGGTCTGGAAACCAAGCCTGATGAGGAACAGTTGAAGGAGCTGGGTATGTTTAACCGGGAGAAGAGGAGAATGAGAGGAGATATGATGGCCCTCTTCAAACATCTGAAGGGCTGTCACATGGAAGGTGGAGCAAGCTTGTTTTCTGCTGCTCCAGAGGGAAAGACCTGAACCAATGGATTCAAATGTCAAAGAAGGAGATTCTGACGAAACATTAGGAAGAACTTTCTGATGGTAAGAGGTGTTTGGCACTGGACTCTCCGTCATTAGAGGCTTTTATGCAGAGATGGGGAGCCCTGTGCCAGGAATGCTTTAGCTGCGGTTCCTGCCCTTCAGGGAGTGGGGTTAAGTGGGTCCCATCCCACTCTATTATTCTATCACTGTGACCACTTGTTTTAACTTTTTCTGTGATCAGGAACCTAAGGGAGGGTTTGAACTCGTGTAATATCGGTAAGGAAAGCGGCACCTTGATGTGTAGAAACAAGGGTGGGGGTGGATTGGGGCCAGAAACAAACTGAGGAAATCATAAACCTTTTTTTTAAATGGGAAAAAATATCATTGATTTTTCCTGAACCCTGGAGAAGTAGACTTGGGTTTTAGGGGAGAGATTTCAAGTCCTACCCCTGCTGGGCTCACACTGCTCTCTGCCAGTTCTCCTTGGGTAGAAAATAAGATAAGGCCAAGTACAAGGCTGGTCTGTCTGCATCTAGGATCCCCATGAACAAACCAACTTGGGAACTGCAAAATATGCAGCCCAGACTATACAAGTGGCACCGTGACCTTGATTATTTCTACTTGTGGAACACTGTAATCTACATGATCACAAGTTGCAGATAAATAAAGAGTTTTTGTAAGTAGAAATTATAGTCAGGATGGCAACAGAGCCTCTTGGTTGCTGTTTTTGTTTTTAATGCTTTGGGAAATGCTCAGTAATTTCTGCTGCAACCAGAGTCTGTCGCTAACATGGCACAGATCCATTCTACGCATTACACAGAAGGTGGTGGTAGGATTCTGGAGACTGGAGCTTCAGACTCCAGGGATGGTTGCAGTTTTGAATTTTCCCTGCCTGCAAAAAATAAGCGCACCTTGGTCAAAAGATTTAGCAATGCCCTCTTCTTGTTTTGCTGCCTGCAGGGAGCTGTTTTACTAAGCAAAGCATTCAAAAATATTTAAGCCTCACACATCATTTTATCCCTGTTTCCTGCTAACGTCCGACTTGAGGCAATTCCGACATCATGTTTTGATGTCTGTGGTGTCCATGTGTCTATTAGAGTCTGAAGTGGGGTGCAGAGGGCACACAGAACACCATGCTGGCTACGTCTGTGGTGAATCATAGAACTGTTGAGTTGGAAGGGACCCCAGATGTCATCTAGTCCAGTGTTTCCCAACCGGTGTTCCGCGGCACACTACTGTGCCGTGAGACATTGGCTGGTGTGCCGTGGGAAGGAGGCGGGCGAGTCGGGCGGTGAGAGGCGGCGGCGGCGAGGATCCGCGTCGAGCCGGGGGCGGCTCCGCGGTGGTGGTGCCGAGCGGCGGGGCAGCGCATGCAAAAGGGAGGAGCGCGAGACAGCGGAGGAGGAGGAGGCCGGCATGTCCGGGCAGCAGCAGCAACAACAGCAGCAGCAACTCCCGGCGACGGCTCCTCAAGCCCCACCGCCGCCCCCTCCTCCACCCGCTATCGCCGCCACCACCACCACAGCCGCCGCCTCAGTTGCCGCCGTCCCTCAGTCCCTCGCTCTGCTGCCTCCTCCCACCCCCAAAGCTTGGAGGTTCCCCGGCAAGGGGGAGGGGAAAAACTTTCACTTTCGTGCGTCCCTCCCGGCGTGACGCTGCGCGCTGACGTCACGGGGCGGGGCTTTAATGGTGGTGTGCCGCGAGATTTTTTTTCAGTAAACAGGTGTGCCGTTGCCCAAAAAAGTTTGGGAAACACTGATCTAGTCCAACCCTCCCTGCAGTGCAGGAATCACAGCTAAAGAATGCATCTTGCAACAACAACAAAACCATCGCGCTCACATAACTTGCCACTATGATTTTGTGCTGTGTTTACTATTCACACGAGCAGACGAACAATAATTGCTTGCATCAATCTGTTTTTAGAACACTTGGGGAAATCTTGCAAGGTATTTTCTAAGTCCCAAATTCTCTTCTTATGTCTCTTCCCTGCTTAGGTCAGTCATAAAGCCGTCAACCTTACCAGACATTCAGGTCACAGAAGCCGAGCCCTCGATGGATGGGGACGGAATTGATGGGGGAATTGGTAAGGCAGGGGAAGGGAAGGGTTCAGGGGGTCCTTACTGGTGCTAAGGAGTTGGGGCGGGTCTCCATCTTCTGAAAATAATGCAATAATGGAGTATAATCCTTATCTATGACAATAACTCACTGTGAAGTGTAGTAAATCGGTTTCTGAAAGGTGTTTTTCTGGGAGCTTACCACCCTGTGCTAGGAGTGCCATAATTATGTGTCTAAAAGCAACAGAGCAATCTGTGTCTCGGGTCTAAATATCTGTTTCAGAGTTCTCTTGTGATATAGATGGTGCTGATCCAGCAAACTCTCTTTATGTTCTTAAAAGGAATGACTTCTCCGTACAGTTCAGAGTTAAACTTGCCACTTCCAGATGGCAGTCACAACCTCTGGCCTGGGTAGCTCGAAAAGGGGTGTGTGCGTGTGACAGATTTGTGGAGGTCCATGCTGATCAGCATGTGAGGGACGCGGGTGGCTCTGTGGTCTAAACCACTGAGCCTCTTGGGCTTGCCGATCGGAAGGTCAGCGGTTTGATTCCCCATGACGAGGTGAGCTCCTGTTGCTCTGTCCCAGCTCCTGCCAACCTAGCAGTTCAAAAGCACGCCAGTGCAAGTAGATAAATAGGTACCACTGTGGCGGGAAGGTAAACGGTGTTTCCGTGTGCTCTTGCTTCCATCACAATGTCCTGTTGCGCCAGAAGTGGTTTAGTCCTGCTGGCCACATGACCCGGAAAGCTGTCTGTGGACAAACACCGGCTCCCTCGGCCTGAAAGCGAGATGAGCGCCGCAACCTCATAGTCGCCTTTGACTGGACTTAACTGTCCAGGGGTCCTTTACTCTTTACCTTCCTCCATGGCCAGAGGCAGAGAGAGTGGCTGCGCTCAAGTTCTGCTTGTGGACTTTGCCAGAGGCGTCTGGTTGGCCCCCGTGGAAGGCAGGAGGATGCTGGCCTTGAGGGGCAGCCAGGCGCCTCAGAGTTCATGGGACCAGCGTGAAACACACACACACACACACACACACACACACACACTGAGTGGTGTGGAAGAATGAGCTTTGTTCCCCTTTTCCTTGGCAACACAGCCCTCCTCTCTTTAGAAAGGGAATAACAGGAGTCATTGTTAAGCAGAGTTGCCATGGAGAAATAAACATTTACAGGAGAAGCGCTCTCTCTCTCCCGCTCTCCCCACCACCCATCGCTCTCTCTGATCCGTGATCGGCCTTCCCGTTTAACAAAACAGAAAACCACCACGTGGGTTTTGGCATTTACGGCCTTTGTGCAATCTGAGCTGTGCCCTTCTTGACTCTCCCCTCTTCTTTTCCCTTCCCTTAAAAAACCAAAGCAAGCCAGGCAACGCCCCTGCTTAGATAGATCAAAGTCTCAGCATCTGCATTGGCTCCCCGGGACAAGAAGCGCAAAGCAACCAATTTATTTGGAGTCGCAGGTGCAAGCTTTTGAGTCACACAGGATGCTTCAGTAGTCCGGGTCTTCGGGAAGGAAATGTGGGAGAGGCGATGCCCCATGTTGCTGTAGCCACAAGGCCACTGTTAGACATTTCTACAGTAAGGATTTTAATCCCACTCGCTGCTTGGAAGACCGGTGGGTTTAAGGTAAAATAGCTGATGGAAATTGCTGCCCAGAAACTTTTGTGCAAAGCCAAAAACAAAAACCACCCTAGCTGAGGTCTCCTTCTTCTTCCATGCGCAACAGTCAGTGGTTGAAAATGTTTTGCTGTGTCCGTTTGGAAGCCCTGGTCCAGTTAGAAGATGCCAGGGTACCCCTCTTGTCTATCTGGCCAGCTGCCCTTCACAAGCAGTTGCCTTCAGCACTGGTGGAGGAATGGGGGAGTGGGGGAGCGTACCGCCCCCGGCACCATTGGGGAGTGGGGTACCATCACGGCCGCCCCCCGGACACAGGCCATGCACACACACCCCACTGTGCCGGGTACTACGCCCCCGCGGGCGATGCGCCACGCCCCCAGGAAGCACGCCACACCCCCACAGGTGTTGTGCCATGCCCCCACGGGCAGCACTCCACGTCCCTGGGGGGCGCACCATGCCCTTGGTGCCGGAGTATGCAGCTTCGCCACTGGCCTTCAGCACTCCAGAGTTCAAGTGAGCCCCTTGGGCTCCATGATGCAGGAGAAGATGCTTGTGGGTCACACTTAAAAAATAATAATAATGGCCTGCCTCTTTTTGCCTTCCCCATAGCCAAGAGCAGGGCATTGTCAGGATTATCAGTTTTCTCTGCTGCAAAATCCACACACACAACGCCAAGTTTTCAGGAGCCCATTCAGAGTAAGACCATCACAATTAACTGATGTGCAGCCTAGGTGAAGGTAAAGGGACCCCTGACCATTAGGTCCAGTCGTGACCGACTCTGAGGTTGCGGCGCTCATCTCGCTTTATTGGCCGAGGGAGCCGGCGTACAACTTCCAGGTCATGTGGCCAGCATGACTAAGCCGCTTCTGGCGAACCACAGCAGCGCACGGAAACACCATTTACCTTCCCGCCGGAGCGGTACCTATTTATCTACTTGCATTTTGACATGCTTTCAAACTGCTTGGTTGTCAGGAGCAGGGACTGAGCAATGGCAGCTCACCCCATCGCGGGGATTCGAACCGCCGACCTTCTGATCGGCAAGTCCTAGGCTCTGTGGTTTAACCCACAGTGCCTAATTGGGGGATGAAAACCAGCACCAGTCCATACTTAATTTTATCAGTCAAAGATCAGCAGGCCATTTATTATTATTTTTAAGTGTGACCTTCTGATGCTCAAGTTTGAGGAAGTTTAAACCTCTGTGCAACAGCTTAGGAGGGATGCCCAGATGAAAGGAGTGTTGCTCAGCCCTCCCAGAGAACACAGCTGTGGCAGGAAGTTAGGTGTGGCACCCAAGGGGTTGAGCACATCAGAGGCACACATGGGCCTGCCTGGGAACTGTAGAGGATTTCTCTGCCTCTTTGAACTTCCTTGCTGGCAATGGGGTGGAGGCTGTCAGCCCTGGGGTCCCAAGGCTGATGGGGAAAGAGACCCCGCCCCAAAGAGATCCATCCAGGACTCATAATGTGCCACATGATGGCTGTTCTTTGCCTCCATAGTTGGCACTCGGATGCCTTGAAGGACTGGCAGTAGTGCTCTTGACCATTCTCTCTTAACTGAGCGGTGTCCTGAAGTGAGGAGAGGAGGAGCCAGTCTATTGGCTGCAGGCCACACCCTGCACATATCGGCATATCTGCTGAGAAGCCCTTGCACGAGGACTGTTAAACTGTGGAACTCACTCCCACAGGAGGTGGTGAGGTCACCCACCTAATGGCTTTAAAAGAATATTAGGCAAACTCATGGAGGAGACGGCAACAGAATATCAGTTGCTGGAAGCCACGGGACAGGAGAGCGCAGCTCTTGCGCTCAGATCCTGTTTGCAGGTTTCCCACTGGGGCATCTGGTCGGCCACTGTAAGGACAGGATCCTGGACTTACCGTATTTTTCGCTCCATAAGATGCACCTGACCATAAGACACACCTCGTTTTTAGAGGAGGAAAACAAGAAAAAAAGTGTTCTGAACGAAACACTGGATGTATGATTTTTGTGGTTCATGCTGTGGCCACAGACATGTGATCTGATGGTGAATTTGGGGTGACCCAATGCAAAAATCCTGAGGATCTATGTGGATCTGTGCTTTGTAACCATGTTTTTGTGCCATTGCGGCCCCACGCAACAGTGGGTGCATGTTTTTTGGGGTGCAGGCTGTAGCCAGGGACATGCTATGTGATCTGATGGTGAATTTGGGGTGACCCAATGCAAAAATCCTGAGGATCCATGGGCTTTTACCTCCCCCCTCCCAGGCAGCCTCTGCCAGCCTCCCTTATCTCTCCTCCGATCCCACCGATCAGCTGTTTCCTTTCAACACTCCCTTCCCTCTTGTTTGCCTTAGTATAGTGTCTTTTCCTTAGCTGGAGCAGTTTTTTGCTCCTCCTTTTCTTCTAACTTCTCTCCTTATTGCTTTAGTCTTCCTGTCTCCTCTCCTTGCAAGTTTTCTGTCTTTACCTCCCCCTCCCAGGCAGCCTCCTTTATCTCTAGCGTCCCTTATCTCTCCCCGATCTCTCGGCAAATGATCAGCAGCTTTGTTTCAACACCCCCTTCCCTCTTTCAAAAAAAGAGCATGATCTGCTTTTTGCCCCTGGGCAATTTGGCTCCAGGGACCACACATTCGCTCCATAAGACGCACAGACATTTCCCATTACTTTTTAGGAAGAAAAAAGTGCGTCTTATGAAGCGAAAAATACGGTAGGTGGGCCACCTTTGGCCTGATCCAGCAGGCTCTTCTTATGTCGCATGTTTAAGATGTGTTTCTATTTTTTTGTTTTGTTGTTTAATGCCACCCAGCTTGTTGCAGATCTGAAACAGGAGCAGGCTTGGGTGGGTTGACACATGGTGAGTTGAAATGTGAGTTTAAGGAGCCCATTAAAAATGGATTAAGAGGGATTTCATTATGTTCTGGGTCCACGCCAGGAATCTTAGAGGAACGCTTAAGGGTCTGCTTTCCTTGCCACATCACATTCTCATCTCAAGGAGCAGCTGCTCAGACGAAGCTCTTGAACTAGAGCTCTCACCCTTTTTCTAGCAGGGGAAAGGGTAAATGCAGCCAGTTAGACCAGTGGTTGGCAACCTAAGCCCATGGGCCGGTTCCAGCCCATGAGCTTCCTGGAACTGGCCCACGGCTGTTCCGTGGATTGGCGTGGGGGTTCCATTTTTTTTCTCGGCACCATTTTTTTCCTCACCACGGGGACCGACTTCCAGGTCGGAAGAGCGCCGGAAATAGCATGTGCTCACCTGGAGGAACACTCGTACACGTACATGTACACTACTTCTGGCGCACTTCCGGTACGTGTCCCTTGTGCTTGGATCCTCTCTGTGGGTCGTTCCCCCCCCCCGAGTCATCTGGTGGGCCACTGTGAGAACAGAATACTAGAACATAGGGGGCTCCACTGGCCTGATCCAGCAGCCAGGCTCTTCTTACGTTCTTAATGTTCAGAGTTTGCAGGTTGTTGTTGTTGTTTAGTTGTTTAGTCGTGTCCGCCACTTCGTGACCCCCTGGACCAGAGCACGCCAGGCACTTCTGTCTTCCACTGCCTCCCGCAGTTTGGTCAAACTCATGCTGGTAGCTTCGAGAACACTATCCAACCATCTCGTCCTCTGTCGTCCCCTTCTCCTTGTGCCCTTCATTTTTCCCAACATCAGGGTCTTTTCCAGGGAGACGTCTCTTCTCATGAGGTGGCCAAAGTATTGGAGCCTCAGCTTCAGGATCTGTCCTTCCAGTGAGCACTCAGGCCTAATTTCCTTAAGAATGGATTGGTTTTATCTTCTTGCAGTCCATGGGACTCTCAAGAGTCTCCTCCAGCACCATAATTCAAAAGCATCAATTCTTCGGCGATCAGCCTTCTTTATGGTCCAGCTCTCACTTTCATACATCACTACTGGGAAAACCATAGCTTTAACTATATGGACCTTTGTTGGCAAGGTGATGTCTCTGCTTTTTAAGATGCTGTCTAGGTTTGTCATTGCTTTTCTCCCAAGAAGCAGGCGTCTTTTAATTGGGAGTCCTACTCATGTGTAAAAGGAACACATGGAGAGGGACAAGCCCGCTGAGTTTCACCCTTTGTGAGCTGGAGGGCAAACACTTCCTCATATTCCCCAATTCTTAGTTGTGGAGAGATGCTCCACACATAAAGGAGGTTTTGTGCTTCAGTTGTTTGCCCTCCAGCTTGTGAAAGGCAGCAAGGGGTATGGAGCTTTGCACGCTTTCGCATTGCCTTTACACGTGAGTAGAACACTGGGCTGCTTTGTGCGCATCGTGCAAGTTCTGCTTGTTGCAAACTGAGTAACCCGCAGTAGGAAGAGTCCGTAAAAATTGTGAGCTGGTAGCACGCCCCATGCTAATATGCTTCTCTTATTGGAAAAAGAAGGCAAGGGGACCTGAGTTATTTGTCCCCTGATTCTGAACATCTTGTTTGGCACATGTGGCTTGGGTCTGATCCTGCAGACTCCTTATCATGCCAGAGAGGGAAGGAGGAAATCCCAGGAGAAGATCATGTAAGAACATAAGAAGAGCCTGCTGGATTAGGCCCACCTAATCCATCATCCTGTTCTTCAGTGGCCAATCAGATGCCCGTCACGCTCAAATCCTGCTTGCCGGTTTCCCATAAGAGCCCTCTCTCCTCTTGCAGTTTCCATCATCTGGTATTCAAGAGCATTGCTGCCTCCTGGTCCTTTATCTGCAGTTCAGACCCCGTAGGCCTGTACAGTGGTGCCCCGCAAGACGAATGCCTCGCAAGACGAAACGCGCTAGACGAAAGGGTTTTCCGTTTTGGAGGTGCTTCGCAAAACGAATTTCCTATGGGCTTGCTTCGCAAGACGAAAATGTCTTGCGAGTTCCTGCAGGGTTCCCCCCCCCCTTTTCCCCAAGCCGCTAAGCCGCTTATCAGCTGATCCGCTAGGCCGCTAAGCTGCTTAACAGCTGATCCGCTAAGCCGCTAAGCCGCTTAACAGCTGATCCGCTAAGCCGCTTAACAGCTGATCCGCTAAGCCGCTAATGGGCTTGCTTCGCAAGACGAAAAAACCGCAAGACGAAGAGACTCGCGGAACGGATTCTTTTCGTCTTGCGAGGCACCACTGTATGTGTGTTGCTGGCTGTGTCAGAGGATGGAGCCTGGCCTCTTTCTTTTGAAAACTTTGAAAGATACATGTAGGGATAATCGCTGGGTCTGGAGGGAGGACACTCCCCACCCGCAGGACACTCCCCACCCGCAGGCAGCCTCAGTCTGCCTGCACGCGTGACCTTGGGGTGCGGGGCACACCCCCCCACAGACAAGCCACAGCTGTCTGAACATCGTTCCCTCTGTCTAACCTTTTGCGGTCTCAGTAGTCTGCGGTGCCCTGTCTGTAACCTTTGTCTCTGAGACCTTTTGTCTCCTTCATCATACATTGTTCAAGGGGGAAATGATGCGGTGGAAACAGGTTGTCCAAATAGCTTTGTACCACCCCTCAATCTCAGGACTGGTAAAGATCACAGCCCAAAATGTATCTGCCTGGTTTGCATATTTGTGTCAATAAAAGGAGGCTCCACAGGGCTGGCCGGCAGCTTGCTTGCAGCTCACCTGTGCGCAGCTTACCTGCATTATCAACTCCTGCCTCATGTCCATCACTTCAGATACAGGTGTTTGGAATTTCTTTGGAGGAGGTCAGCTTCTTTTGACGCACCTTTCCTGTCTCCTCCATTTCAGATGACAACGATCTCAAAGCCCAGCAAGAAGAAGCGCCGCAGCTGATGCGGACGCGGAGCGACGTGGGCATGCGCCGCAGGGGGACTCTCCGCACCCCCAGTGAGCAGCGGAGGATCAGGCGCCACCGCTTCTCCATCAACGGGCATTTCTACAACCACAAAGTGAGTCTCTCAAGGAGGGTCTCCCTAAAGCGCAGGAGCATCTTGATTTAGGGATGGATCCAGGTCGAGAATGTAGCTCTCGGTGCCTCCCAGAGAATTGTTAAGGCAGGCATTTTTTGTTTTGTTTTATATGGAAACTAGCATCTATTTATTATTTGCGTTATCATGTATTTGTGGCATTTTGTTCCAAGGAGTCCAAGGGAGAATATGTGGTTCTCCCCCCCCCTTGCCATATTCCTCACTCCATAAGACACACCTGACCATAAGACGCACCTAGTTTTTAGAGGAGAAAAACAAGAAAAAAAATATTCTGAACAAAACTGTGGATGTATGATTTTTGTGGTTCATGCTGTGACCACAGACATGTGATTTGACAGTGAGTTTGGGGTTGTTGTTGTCGTTTAGTCGTGTCCGACTCTTTGTGACCCCACGGACCAGAGCACACCAGGCACCTCTGTCCTCCACTACTTCCCGCAGTTTGGTCAAACTCATGCTGGTAACCTCGAAAACACTATCCAACCATCTCGTTCTCTGTCGCCCCCTTCTCCTTGTGCCCTCCATCTTTCCCAGCATCAGTGTCTTCTCCAGGGAGTCTTCTCTTCTCATGAGGTGGCCAAAGTACTGGAGCCTCAGCTTCACGATCTGTCCTTCCAGTGAGCACTCAGGGCTGATTTCCTTAAGAATGGATGCGTTTGATCTTCTTGCAGTCCATGGGACTCTCAAGAGTCTCCTCCAGCACCATAATTCAAAAGCATCAATTCTTCGGCGATCAGCCTTCTTTATGGTCCAGCTCTCACTTCCATACATCACTACTGGGAAAACCATGGCTTTAACTATACGGACCTTTGTTGACAAGGTGACGTCTCTACTTCTCAAGATGCTGTCTAGGCCTGTCATTGCCCTTCTCCCAAGAAGCAGGCGTCTTTTAATTTCGTGGCTGCTGTCACCATCTGCAGTGATCATGGAGCCCAAGAAAGTAAAATCTCTCACTGCCTCCATTTCTTGAGTTTGGGGTAGCCCAATGCAAAAATCCTGAGAATCCATGTGGATCCGTGCTTTGTAAGCAGATTTTTGTGCCCCACGCAACAGTGGGTGCATGATTTTTTTGGTGCAGGCTGTAGCCATGGACATGCTATGTGATCTGATGGTGAATTTGGGGTGACCCAATGTAAAAATCCTGAGGATCCATGGGCTTTTACCTCTCCCCTCCCAGGCAGCCTCCTTTATCGCTAGCATCCCTTATCTCCCTCCTGATTGCTCACCGATCAGCTGCTTCATTTCAACACCCCCTTCCCTCTTTAAAAAAGAAAAGAAAAAAAAGCACATTCTGCTTTTCGCCCCTGGGCTATTCGGCTCCAGGAATCACACATTCACTCCATAAGACGTACAGACATTTCCCCTTACTTTTTAGGAAGAAAAAAGTGCGTCTTATGGAGCAAAAAATACAGTAATCCCCACAACAACCTTGTGAGGTAAGTTAGGCTGAGAGGCAATGACTGGCCCAAGTCACACAGTGAGCTTCGTACCAAGCGGGGATTCGAATTCTGATCTCTCCCAGGTCTTAGTCTGACGCTCTAAGCCCTACACCACATTCTGGCTTTCCCTTAGCCGAGTTTGTTGCCCATGTACCATACTTTTCCGTATATAAGACGAGGTTTTTCCCCTGCTAAAACAATATCCAGAATTGGTGTTTGTCTTATACATGGTCAGCACGTTGTTGGGACGGGGGATTGGTTGCTGGCGCAAGCAGGAGCTTATCAGGGGTGATTGGACGTGATTGGTGGCTGTGGCAAGGCCTGCTGCTGATAGGCTGCTACTGCAGTAATTGGGCGTGTGATTGGGGTGGCTGCTGTTGGCGAGTGGGCAGACAATAGGTTGGTTCGGTGACATGTGCGATAGCCATCACTCATCTACTCTAGGCAATCCCCCCCCCATCTCAACAACTCTGGGCAATCTCCCCCCATTTTCTTAAATATACACGGGGCCGTGTTATACACGGAAAACTACGATGTGTATAAAACTACAGAATGCTGGCAATGCGAGAATTCAAAAGCTCCATAATATTTGCTCCGGAATGTAAGACCATTTCCCAGTTATTTTTGAAGTTCTTTTTTTTATATTTTTTAATTAAATTTTATTAAGTGTTACAAAAAAAATGAAAAGAAAAGAAGATATAGAAACAATACATAACCATACATTAAAACATTTATCTACACAATTTTCCAGAATGCAGACTAGAAAAGAAGAAAGACAAAAGCTAAAAGAAAGAAACAAGAAGAATGAAAAGAAAAAATACTTTTCATAATCAATTTTATAATATTTTAACTAGGATTTATATATCATAATGTTTGAAGTATGAATTTAGAATAATTGATTATAATTTTTGAGGTTCTTTGATGCCTGTAGTCAGTCCTCTTGCTGGCAATTGTTCTTTTCCTTCCACCATGTCCCCCAACTCCTCTTTCTCGATTCGATTTTGATTTAATCTTTGCATTCTGCTTTTCCAGCAACAAATGTTGAGCTCTGAGCGGTTCACAAGAATCACGGCAGCATTGAAAATCAAGAAACACTGGCAATCCCTATGATAGCAAGCACAGTAGCCTTTTAATAAAGCAAATGACTGCAAGAAATTAATCAAAACAAGGAGCTCAACAAGATCTTCCATAGTTTCAAATCTGGCATGGCGTTAGCTCCCCCTTCTCCCCCAATACATGGCTCACACATCCCTTTGTGCTTCTGTGGGCCTCCAGGGATTCCTCTTGTCTAGATCACCCTGTCCTCCAGCCTTCTGATGGCTTTCTGCTCCTCTCCACAGACATCGGTTTTCACACCCGCCTATGGCTCCATCACGAATGTCCGCATCAACAGCACCATGACGACGCCTCAAGTTCTCAAGCTTCTGCTTAACAAATTCAAGGCAAGTTTTGCTGCAACGTTTTGTACTGGCCCAAATCTAAGCTGGGAAAGTCTCCCAGCGGTGTCCTCTCCTCCTGGGCCCCTGTCCAACTCTGGTCCATTTCTGTGGGGCTTGCGGAGGAGGGTGGCTGTCCCTAGCTTTGCCCAGCCTCGGGGACCTCCCATCTATTTCGGACCACAATTCCCATCCGACTCAGCTTCATACGACAGTGCTGATGGGAGTTGTAGTCCAAAATGGTCGTGCTGCCGGGGGCTGATGGGAGTCGTACCATGGAGAACCCCCAAGTTGGTAAAGGCACCTGTTGGTTGTATATCTGTGTCTACTTCTCGTGATGGCACCAATGAGCTGCCTGCTGTCACAGCTGCCTATTCTTGGACTGGACAAACACAAACCCCTGTGTTGCAAAATGTAAAGGTAAAGGTAAAGGTACCCCTGCCCCTACGGGCCAGTCTTGACAGACTCTGGGGTTGTGCGCCCATCTCACTCAAGAGGCCGGGGGCCAGCGCTGTCCGGAGACACTTCCGGGTCACGTGGCCAGCGTGACAAAGCTGCATCTGGCGAGCCAGCGCAGCACACGGAACGCCGTTTACCTTCCCGCCAGTAAGCGGTCCCTATTTATCTACTTGCACCCGGGGGTGCTTTCGAACTGCTAGGTTGGCAGGCGCTGGGACCGAGCAGCGGGAGCGCACCCTGCCGCGGGGATTCGAACCGCCAACCTTTCGATCGGGAAGCCCTAGGCGCTGAGGCTTTTACCCACAGCGCCACCCGTGTCCCGTTGCAAAATGTAACAATCTACAAAAATGGAAACACAACACGCCGGCTAATAACTGTTAGTCAATATATAATGGGTTATGATGTCATTCAAAATATATGAATAAGCCACTTCAAAACGATGTATATATCATGCAACACATCTCACAAAATATACAAGTAACCACAAGTTATATGCATCAGAGTCAAACACAAATGTATTTGTGTTGTAAGCATCAGCAGCTACACTATCCAGTGGGCACCGATCCACTAGCACGATCCCCATTAGTATGAATATTTCATTGATAATTATTTGGTATGTACCTCTTTATATAGGGATGCGGGTGGCTCTGTGGGTTAAACCACAGAGCCTAGGATCAGAAGGTCGGCAGTTCGAATCCTCGCGACGGGGTGAGCTCCCGTTGCTCAGTCCCTGCTCCTGCCAACCTAGCAGTTTGAAAGCATGTCAAAGTGCAAGTAGATAAATAGGTACCGCTCCGGCGGGAAGGTCAACGCCGTTTCCGTGCACTGCTCTGGTTCACCAGAAAGGGCTTAGTCATGCTGGCCACATGACCCGGAAGCTGTACGCCGGCTTCGTTGGCCAATAAAGCGAGATGAGCGCCGCAACCCCAGAGTCGGCCACGACTGGACCTAATGGTCAGGGGTTCCTTTACCTTTAGCTCTTTATATATTTTGTTCTGTTGTATAACTTACATGCAGGTCGCTCAGTTTTGTTGTCATTCATTGCTTGCAATGCCTTATATTCCATTTCCAGCTGATAAAGACTTTATTCCGAAACAGTTAAACTATTCCGGATATACTGCCCTTTTGAGACTTTTGTGAGACGTCTTCCTTTGAGAGATGGCTTGGCGTTCCTCACTGTTCATTGATTTGTTTGATTCTTTGTTTGACTCTGATAAATATAACAACTTGTAGTTACTTGGGACACAAGTAACTACAATGATATAGACGTCATTTTGAAGTGGCTCATTCGTATATTTTGAATGACATTGTACAGTGGTACCTCGGGTTAAGAACTTAATTCGTTCTGGAGGTCCGTTCTTAACCCGAAACTGTTCTTAACCTGAAGCACCACTTTAGCTAATGGGGCCTCCCGCAGCCGCCGCACAATTTCTCTTCTCATCCTGAAGCAAAGTTCTTAACCCGAGGTAATATTTCTGGGTTAGCGGAGTCTGTAACCTGAAGCGTCTGTAACCTGAAGCGTCTGTAACCCGAGGTACCACTGTATATTCACTAACAGCTATTAGCCAGTGTGTTGTGTTTGCATTTTCATACTCTTGGACTGGGTCTGGAGGCTGATATGTTACACTGGGGGTGGAATAAAATAACATGAACAGCCCCAAAGGGGAGCCTCAGGCCATAGAGTCTGGCTGCTGCACGTTGACTATTAGCCGGCACCCTCAGGCCCACCAAGCCTGAAACAGGAAGAAGTGGTCAGACCAGCAGAGGTTGCTGGACTCCAACTCTAGGGCTGACAGGAGCTGGAGTCCAGCAACATCAGCCTGGCATCATCCTGCCTCCCCTTATAGAATCATAGAATTTTAGAGGGTTGGACGTAGCGCGGCTGGAAGCCCCCGGACCCGGCCGGGAGGAGGAGAGGCACTCGCCAAGCCCGGATCTGGAGCGCCTTGGAGCGCGGGCTCCACCTACAGCCCAAGGAGAGGAGGGGGCGGGGAGGCGCCCGAGGGGAGGGGGCTTCGGCTGCCTCGGCCCGCGGGGGCTCCGCAAATAATAAATTTAATAAATTCCTGCTGAGCCTTTGGGGGGGGGGTCCTTGGCTCCTTCATTCGCCCCCAGCCCCAGTGGCGTAGCGTGGGGGGGTCAGGGGGGCCGGCCGCAACATCTGGGGGGGGCGCGCTCGCACTCGAGTGCTAAAATCCACGGGTTAGGGGGCGCAAATTACTTGCCTTGCCCCGGGTGCTGACAACCCACGCTACGCCACTGGGTGGAAGGGACTCCCAACCCGCTGCAATGCAGGAATCACAGCTAAAGAATCGCTGACAGGTGGCCATCCAACCTCCCATGAAGGAGAGCCCACCATCTTCTGAGATAGTCCATTCCACTGTTGAACATCTCGCACCATCAGAAAATTCTTCCTGATGTTTAATCGGAATCTCCTTTCTTATTGTTTGAATCCATTGGTCTGGGTCCTCCCTTCCATTTACCAAGCTAAACATGCCCAGCTTAGGGCTGTCTTAAGCCGGGGTGCAAAGATCCGCCCGGCGTCCCACCCCCCCAAGGTTGCCCAGCCCCAGGCACGCAGGAGGGTGGAGCCAGCCAGCCGCCTCAGCGTCTCGCTGGCTCAGTCGCCCCCGAACTCACGACGCAGAGCCGCCCGCAGCAGAAGAGCCTGCCGCGGTTCTCTGACCGACGGGCAGGCTCTTCGCCGGACTCAATTCTGGGGCCCCGGACTCTCTGCCTGGAGCCCTTGAGAGCCCGGCGACCAGGTGCTATGCACCCCTAGCACCTATGGGTAAGACGGCACTGGCCCAGCTCCATCAACCATTCCTGATAAGGCTTGGTTTCCAGATCTTGGTCAACCTGAAAACCTTGTTCCGTGTGTGTGTGTGTGTGTGTGTGTGTGTGTGTGTGTGTGAGAGAGAGAGAGAGTGTTTTATATTTTCTGTGTTTTCTTTTCTCTGTGTTCAGATTGAGAACTCAGCAGAGGAATTCGCCTTGTACATTGTTCACACCAGTGGAGGTGAGCAGGCTGTTATTGTGTGCTGGTTTTTTGTTTTTTTTAATTATTTGATTTTACAAGCATAAAGTTACAGCAATACCAATTACATATCCCTATTTAGAGATTTTTCTGAATCTCCAGACTTCCCACCACCCCCTCCATGGATCTTACTGTCAACATTTTCAACTGCATGTTATTTCATAATCCATATTTTGTATCTCTCTATATTGTCCATAGTGTATTGTGTGCTGGTTTCAATAGGCCTGTAGTTCAGCTAAGCAGTTATGGATTTAAGCAATGGGTCACCAGCCTAACTGTGATGCCACGGTGCATGGGGGGCAGGACGGGGAATGAGTTAAGCCCACCCCAGCTGTTAACTTCGCCTGCCTCAAGCCCCCCCCCATTTGTGCATTTAAAACATGTTTTAAAATAGATTAAAAAAAATATTTATTTGTATACCACTATATCATAAAATAAGGGACGCGGGTGGTGCTGTGGGTTAAACCACAGAGCCTAGGGCTTGCCGATCAGAAGGTCGGCGGTTCGAATCCCCGTGACGGGGTGCGCTCCCGTTGCTCGGTCCCTGCTCGTGCCCACCTAGCAGTTCGAAAGCACCTCAAGTGCAAGTAGATAAATAGGTACTGTTATGGCGGGAAGGTAAACAGTGTTTACGTGCGCTGCTCTGGTTTGCCAGAAGCGGCTTAGTCATGCTGGCCACATGACCCAGAAGCTGTATGCCGGCTCCCTCGGCCAATAAAGCGAGATGAGCGCCGCAACCCCAGAGTCGGCCACAACTGGACCTAATGGTCAGGGGTCCCTTTACCCTTTAACTATATCATAAAATACCAAAGTGGTTTACAACAACAACCTAAAAGCATACAATAAAACCATTAAAATATTTTAAAAGTTAAAAACAGGCATCAATTAACCATTGTGGAATGATGTATTCTTACTTGCCTGCATAGGCCTGGTGGAATAGACATTTAAAGTTGGCACAGAAGGTGCCTGCTGAATTTCCAGTGGCAGGGCGTTCCACAGGACTGGGCCAATGACACTAAAGGCTCAGTTTCTTGTTGTTGCTAAACGAGCCTCGCCAACTCAGGGAACGGCCAGCGATGCTCCTGCAGATGGATGATAAAAATAATTTAAAACAGTGTGAAGTAGCTGGTGGGAAAACCTTTTCACAGGTAGCCTTGAGAGTTGCAGTACTTGCCCACCGATTTGTACACTTTGGCCACAACCACTCTTGACATAAGGCCCCAAGAGGGATGGACTATGGGTCAATGTGGCCCTCGGGCTGCAAAACGGCCCCCACCCCTTCTTGGATGCTTCTCAGAAAGTTCTTGCTTGGTTGAGCTTGCCGTCACTGCTGCTGTTCCCCCCTCCTCTGTGTCTGGGGCAACAGGGGAGACTTAGGGATCCCTGCATTGCCTTCTTCAGTGCCTTATCCACACTCCCTGTTTCATGCAGAAAAGCAGAAGTTAAAGGTGACAGATTACCCACTGATCGCTCGGATTCTGCAGGGACCCTGTGAACAAGTTTCCAAGGTGTTCTTGATGGAAAAGGACCAGGTGGAAGAAGTCACTTACGACGTGAGTTGCAGCTTTACGGTGGAATCCTATTTCAGTTTGGAGACGGGCAGGTGAAATGATTGAGGGGGTGGAGTAGTTTCCCTGTGGGGCAGTGTTTGAGGCTGGGGGTAAGCCAAGGAAGAGGTGACCTGGTAGAAGTTGACAGGTTTTTCTCCCTCTAATGCTAGAACTCCCAGGCTAATCCATTCAAAAGTATGTATTCTGACAAGGATTACAAACTCAAATAGAGATTACAAATTCAAATTCTGTAAGGAATTATTGTGTTATACCTATCCTTATGAGTTTGTAATCTCTGTTTGGGTTTGTAATCTCTATTTGAGTTTGTCATCCTCATCAGAATACATACCGTATTTTTCGCTCTGTAAGACGCACCAGACCACAAGGCGCACCTAGTTTTTGGAGGAGAAAAACAAGAGAAAAAAACCATTCTGAATCTCAGAAGCCAGAACAGCAAGAGGGATCGCTGCGCAGTGAAAGCAGCAATCCCTCTTGCTGTTCTGGATTCTGGGATAGCTGCACAGCCTGCATTCGCTCCATAAGACGCACACACATTTCCCCTTACTTTTTAGGAGGGAAAAAGTGAGTCTTATAGAGCAAAAAATACAGTACTTCTGAATGGATTAATTTTTGTTACAATTGACTATTGATTTGTGAGTAGGGATCACTCCCACTACTGAAACTTATATTGGCCAGAGTTCTTGGTGTGCTTTTTTCTTGGTATATTTAATAACAAGAACTCCAACTTACTTAATGTTAGAACTCCCAGGCTGCCACTCAAGCTGATTGTTGGAAGGTTCAAGAGAGATAGAAGGAGGGATTTTCCCACGCCCCAGGAGGCAGTGATGGCCACCGTCCTAGATGGCTTCAAAAGAGGGGTAGACAAATTCATGGAGGAGCAGAGGGCTATCAATGACTCCTAGCCAGGATGGCTATGGTCTGCTGCCACATTTAGAGGCACCATGTCACAGGTATGCCAGTGGCTGGAAACCACAGGTGGGCAGGGTGCTGGTGCGCTCAGGTCAGCAAAATCTTTCCCACCCTCTGTTTATCCCAAAGTGTCATTTGGTCCTGGTGGGATATTTGGAATAATAATAATAATAATAATAATAATAATAATAATATATTTATACCCCATCTGCTGGGTTTTCCCAGCCACTTTGCTTCCAACAGAACATAAAATACAATAACCTATTAAACATTAAAAGCTTCCCTAAACAGGGCTGCCTTCAGATGTCTTCTAAAAGTTTGGTAGTTATTTTTCTTTTTTTTATAAGATATTTATTAAGATTTTCAAAGTATTACAAAATGAATGAATCTGAATTAGGCTCTCCATGTAAAGTGCCCCATATGGGTCCACTTACTTGTAACTTTATTAACCCACTCTCTTCTAACGTGTGCAAGTTGAATAAATCCATAGATACCATCGAACCGGTAACAGAACCAGCTGAACCAGACCAACAAATGAGAGATGACTCTATTTTAATTTTAGCCCCGAAGAGTGATCTGGTTGAAGACCCGACAGGTCGTATTAACAAAGCTATCCAAACAGTTAATGATCACTCAACTAGTGGCACGATACCTGCTGACTTAATTTCGCTCTCTCTAAGTAATACCCCCCTAACTCTACCATCAGGCTCTGAAAAGTCAACTATCTTAGGCCTAACATCTGCCTTTAGCGAGACGAGTGGCACGACTTTACAGCCAAACCTCCCCAATAAATCTAAACAGTTGGGATGTATAGCACGATTGCCACCTTCTCAAAGGAAAATTACTGATTTTTTTGAAGCTGAAACTCCCCCAAATTTAGAATCCCATTCCCACATGATCTGACTACCTAACGACCAACCCAGCCACTCCTCGATGTCATTTTTATGCTGGAATATTGCGGGATGGAGGGGGAAGAAATCTGATCCAGACTTCTTAAAATTTGTTAATTTATTCCAAGTAATTCTCCTACAAGAAACTTGGGAAGAGGAGGTGATTGACATAAATGGATACGATACCATTTTGCTTCCAGCTAGCCCCTCTCTTAAAGGTGGACGCCCTAGGGGAGGTTTGGTAATAGCCATTTCCCTCAAATTGCAAGCAAAACTTACACTTGTTAAATCTTTCTCTCCTTATGCGATTACAGGATTGATTTCAGGAGGGAAATTTGAATTACTGGTAACAAATGTTTATTTCCCCCCTGGGGGGCAGGTAGGGGACCTCCATTCCAAATGGGAAACACTTGAAGAACACCTAGCTTTCTGTTACACTAAGTTCCCAAACACCTCAGCAGTCATGGGAGGTGATTTTAATGCTCGTACAGCTGCAAACTGGGAAGCGCTAGGCAAGGCCAAATGGTGGGTCATACCTGATCACCAGAACTTGGATCTCTCCCCCCATATACAGAGAAAATCGAAAGATAATAGGGTTAATGAAGCGGGAACCCTTCTTTATCAGCTGATTTTACGTTTGAATTTGATAATTTTAAATGGAAATTGTCCCCCGGATATTCCGGGTGAGTTTACTCATTTGAGCACACTTACAAATAGTGTTCTCGATTATTTTATTGTTTCTAGAGATTTATTCCCAAATTTTTCTTATTTTAAAATAGAAAATGTCCAAATGAGCGACCATCTCCCCTTGAGTGCCAAGCTTTCCCTAGACTGGCAGTCTATCAAGTCTAGACACCCCATATATATGGGAATAAATAATGCAGAACAAGTGAGAGGAATAAAATGGTCAGTAACTCAAGCCCAAAAATATATGGAATTCTTCCAACAAGAGATAATTCAAACTCATGCTGTTTTAGATTTAGATCTGTATGGGCATGAACAAATTATCAATTCATTCTCTCTGCTTACAGAAGATCTTATGTCCTTTTTCACAGTACCAGCCATCCAAGTAAATCGGGCCCTTTTTAAGACCGGTGCCCCATGGTTTAACTTAAAATGCAAACAAGCTAGACGACATCTTTGTGCCATTTACAATGAATATAAATCTTCTGGTGCTTTAGTATTACCTAGGAATTACCAACAAGCAAAAATAGCATATAAGCAAGCCCAGAGAATGGCTAAGCAAGAGTGGCAACAAAATCGTTGGCAGGCGCTTATAATCGCCTCTAGTTCACGTAACTCACGGCAATTTTGGCAATTGATTAATAGAAGATCAAGGAGATACCCCTTAACAATAATTCCTGCCCCGGTCTGGGAATCCTTTTTAAGGAAATATTTTGCGTCACCAGATCCCAATACCAACGTTCTTGATGATGTATTTGATCATCTCCCCATCTGGCCTCCTACTGACCCCGATGAAATCTTGAATTTAATCTCTAAACTTAAAATCGGCAAAGCCCCTGGGCCAGATTTGGTTCCGGCGGAAGCCATAAAACTACATTCTGACTGGTGGGCAAAAATCCTGGCTGTTACTTTCGATGCTATTAATGCAACTGGAAGGGTGCCAAAAATATGGAAGGACGCAATTATAATTCCAATATATAAAAAAGGCTCCCCAGACGATCCGGAGAATTATAGGAATATTAGTTTACTGTCAATAGTTGGAAAGATATACGCACGTTTTCTGCTGAATAGACTTACCCAATGGGCTGAAGAAAAGAAACTGATAGGCCCCGAGCAAGCAGGATTCAGACCGAACCAATCAACTACGGACCATGTTTTAGTCTTGCACCATCTAGCCCAGAAATATTCCTCTTCAAACCGAGGCCAACTTTGTGCGGCTTTTATCGACCTTAAGGCTGCATTTGACAGCATCCCCAGAAGGTTACTCTGGGAAAAGTTGGCCCGATGGGGAATTGATAGAAGACTTTTATGGTTAATAATCCAGCTGCATGAGGGGTCGGCTGCTAGGGTGAGAATAACCCCAGCCGGCGATCTCACAAACTCTGTGCCCATCAACAGAGGAGTCCGGCAAGGATGTATCCTAGCTCCTTTTCTTTTCAATTTATTCATTAGTGATATGAGGATACCATTGGCTGAATCTCAGGAAATCATCCATGCCCCCCGTCTCGCAAACTATCGTTGCCCATTATTACTCTATGCTGATGATGCTGTGATTTTATCCTTCTCAAGAATTGGCCTCAGGAGAGCATTAAAACTCTTTGTTTCATATTGTAAAACAAATTCCCTCACTATAAATCAATCTAAATCAAAAGTATTAATTTTCTCAAAAAGTCGGAAATCCTATAAGTGGCAATTAGATGGAAAACCTATTGAACAGGTCTATAAATTTCAATACCTGGGAGTTTTTCTCCAATATAATCTGGGTTGGAAGGCGCATATTGCATATGTTTTAAACAAGGCCAAGGCCCTATCCTTTGCGCTATTGCGCTTTTTCTTTTCGGACGGGGCTCTTCATGTTCCATCTGCCTTGAAAGTATTCAAAGCTAAAGTAATTGCAACATTGGCATATGCTGTTCCTTTATGGGGGACCGCAGTAAACTTGATGCCCTTGGAGGTAATTCAAAATCAATTTCTAAGACGACTGCTAAAACTCCCTCAGTGCGTTAGTAACGCAGCTATTCGCTTAGAATTAAAAACTACATCTTTAGAAAATACTCTTTGGAGGCGTAGCCTTTGTTACTGGTTGTCCTTAAGGCATAGACTTCCGAACCTGTATTTGATCCAATGCCTCTGGAGAGATAATTTTCCCGTCCTAGGGGCAAAAGAGATCCATTCTAAAGTAGTGACCTATGGATTGTCTCCATCAGAATTATTGGAACTGGACCTAGCCACAGCAAAAAAAACCCTCACTCAAAAACTTGAGGAGATTGACCTACAACAAAACACCATTTTGGGTAGTGGCACTTGCTCACCATTAAATCTTGGCATAGTCCCCTCACAGCAGATACCATCTTATTTGACTTCTTTGTCTGTAGCGGTCCACAGATATGCCTTTATTAAGGCAAGATTTAACGCCTTTCCTTCCAATGTCTTGAATAATAGATTTTCCAATGGTCAGATCTCAGCGGTGTGTGTATGTGATAATAGATCTATAGAATCTTTACAACATATACTATTCTGTTGTCCACTACATTCAGTTTCTCGGATCAGATTCTTGTCCCCTTTATTATTGGAAATCTCAGGTGACTCCTTGGAAACACAGCTAATATATTTATTGCAAGATTCTGATCCGAGTAGGTCCCTTTCTGTTGCCAGATTTCTGATAACAGTATTAGCTTATAAGAGGAAAAATGGATTACTCTATGACTATTGATTTTGCTTAAATAACATTGATATATATTGATAATTTGATATTTTAAGCGATATATTGTTCTTATTTTAATGGAATTTAGAAATTTACGGTTTGAGATGTACTTGATTTAAATGTATTTTAATTTTTAATTTTTTAATTTTATTTTGTTATACTTGTTCTGTTGCATGATGTATTGAATATGGGCCTATGGCCGTAATAAACTAATCTATCTATCTATCTATTACAAAATGAAAAAAGAAAAAAGAAAAATACAAATAAAAATAGTTAAAAACAATTCCATCTTTCCATTACTTATCTTTCATTTGCTTGTTTCCCGGACCTCCTCACACCTCCCTTTTTTGTATTCCAATTCAGTTTGTTAGTTCAGCAAATCCTTTCCCTCTTTGTTTATCCTAGTCTTTAATCTTAAAATATTGTAACATTAAATTTTTACCTGTTAATAATCCATTTTTTCATATTCTTTATAGCATTTTAGCTAAAAACCACTTAACTTCTTATCCAACATCATTCTAACATTCATTAATTTTACAATATTTCTGTAGATAGTCTTTAAATTTCTTCCAATCTTCTTCCACCGACGGTAGTTATTTTTCTCTTTGACATCTGGTGGGAGTGTGTTCCACAGGGCGGGCGCCACTACCGAGAAGGCCCTCTGCCTGGTTCCCTGTAACTTGCCTTCTTGCCAAGTTACAGGGAACCTGACGAAGTGTGGAAGTGTGTTGCAAGTGGATAGAAAGTGATTCTTTTAATAGGAATGAGGAACAGGGTTAACTTCCGCTCCTCACAGATCTCGGTCCTGATCCTGATTCTCCTCCCGCCCTGGTGTTAAACAGGAGAACCCTTGACTGCCGCTTGTCCTTAAGAAATGCACACAATTAAAGTAGGAAGTATCTGTGCTTCACCCAAAGCACTCCTGTTCCCCTTTGCGCCAGAAGAGGGTGCTGAGGTCTCTGAATACACAGTCGTGGGTAGCTGAGCAGGGCCGGTCCCAGCCTCAAGCCAGGAGATGTGTGTTTCTCAAGCTCTTCTCTGTGCCTGCCTCGCAGGGGTGGCGTGTTCCATCACCTTTCTGTTTTCTTTTTGCCTCCCTCCCCCTTCCTGGGCAGGTTGCTCAATATATCAAGTTTGAAATGCCTGTCCTGAAAAGCTTCATTCAGAAACTCAAAGAGGAAGAAGACCGTGAAGTCAAGAAACTAAAACACAAGTAAGCTCTTCCTTCCCTGGAATCCAGTCCTCCAAGCACAGTTCTTTCTGAATATATTTTTAAGGGCCCAATCTGGGGATGTTTCCATGGGAATTGCTTGAAATGATGCTTTCGATGCAGAGCAGCCTTGGCCAACCTGGTGCCCTCCAACCAAGTTGGACTACAACTCCTAGCAGCCCCAGAGTCTTCATCCAGCTGCCCTGTTGCAGCCCAAACATCTGAAGGGCACCAATTTTCTTTATTATTACATTTATATCCCATATTTCCTCCAAGGAGCTCAAGGCTGCACTTCTCCCTCCTTCTTCATGTTATCCTCGCAACATCCCTGCAAGGTGGGTTAGGCTGGGAGGCAGTGACCAAGGGGGAGATTCGAACCCTAGTCTCCCAGGTCCTAGTCCAGCACTCTAACCTCTGGTGCCCCAGTGGAGAAGGCTGCTCTCTCCTCACCACAAAGGTCTGGGGTGCACACCCTTTTCCTTTTAAGCTGTAAAACACTGCTTATTTTTCAGGTATTCTGTCCTGCGTGTAATGATTGAGCAACGATTAGAAGAGATCTCCGAAGGCCCGGCCACAATGTGAAGCTTTTGCCCTTGGCCGGACTTTGCTGCCACTGCCCAGGAGAGCCACGTCTTGGAGAAGATTTGTTTGCTTGTGCTGCAATGAGCAAAGGCGGCTCTTCCTTTCTGGAGCAGAACTTGAACACAGAACCCACCTTGACCAACTGTCTTTCCTTCCCTCCAAGCTTTCCTGGAGGTGAACTCAGTGGAGACTCTCTCTTCAGCGGCGGGAGACCTTTTGAGCACTGCTTGCTGGGGACAAACAAGGCAGACACCAACCAAAGCCTTTGCCTCTTGGCCAGCCTGGACCCAGTGGACCTTCTTGCCTCTCCAGCCGGGCGATTCTGAGGTTCTGTTGCTGTTGGGGGCATCCTCTTTGCATGCCACCAAAACGCCGCTTTAACCTTCCAAGTCAGGGCCAGAGGAGGAAGTCGCCTCCCTTTTTTCTCTTTTGGTCATTTCTGAGCTCTAAGTAAAATATTCAGATTTTCTCTCCCCCCACTGGGAGGGCCTAGCCCTTTCTCATCCACCCAGCCACCCATTTCTGTTGCCTCTCCCTCTTGCTCTCCCCCATGCTTTTAAGCTGGGCTGTCACAGACCCACAGGATTCAGGTGAAGCCTCCTCTGCACACACCCTGTTGGATTGCAGCCTTGGCTGCTCCTTTCTCCCTGTTGCTCAGGCGGCAAAGTCGCCCGTGGCAGCTTGGCCTGGCTAAAGCCCCTTCCATGTTCCCTTTCTTCTTCCTGGTTCCAGGGGGTTTTTGAGATGGGAGGAGGTGGCCAGGTTTTCATCTTGGCCCAGGTAAGGAGTGCCCAAAACTGGCTTGGGTTCACCTGTGGCTGAGGAAGTCAGCACACAGATACCTTCCCTGTACAGTGCCAAGGTGGGGGCAGCTGGGCTCGGGCCCCTAAGATGCCCTGAAGACAAGGGGCCACTGTAGACCCAGGCAGCACCACTTTTCAGAGACTCTTTGGCTCAGCTGTTTGAATGGGCTGGTGGCCCAGCTATGCAGGCCAGCAGTCCAAATTCCCTTTGATAAACCATTTTTCGTTAAGGGTGGCTGTTAACCCTGTGTTGGCCTTGCTATATATAGCAATGGTGCAAAGTTCCATCAGCTTTAAAAATGCCTGGCTTACTCTCCCATCCAATCATAAATAGGCCCAAGAGCGAGTCATGTGGGGCCTTGCTGCAGATCTTGGCCCTCCTACGTAAATCCTAAATGCATTTGTTCTCCCTCCCCTCCACCCCTTGCAACTGTAGACGTGCAGCGGCGTAGCGTGGGTTGTCAGCACCCGGGGCAAGGTAAGTAATTTGAGCCCCCTAACCCAGGGCAAGGCAAGTAATTTGCGCCCCCTAACCCGGGGCAAGGCAAGTAATTTGCGCCCCCTAACCCGGGGCAAGGCAAGTAATTTGCGCCCCCTAACCCCTAACCTGCCGCCGCTGCCAGCTTCTTCTTGCTGCTGCCTGGGCTGGGGTATTTACGGTAAGGTAGCCACGGCGGCGGCGGCAGCAGGTCCGTGTTAGGTGATCTGAGGCGAGTTGCCGCTGGCGCTGCCGCCCAAACGATGCCGCTTGCCCGGAGGAGGAGGAGGGCAGAGAGGCGAGGAAAATGCAACATGGCCCAGCAGCTGCAGCAGCAGGGCCGGCGGCGGGGCTGTGAGGAGGGGCTGCCTGGCACGCCCTCCGCGGCCCTGACGCGCGGGGACCGCGGCGAGCACTGAGAGCCGCTGCCAGCTTGTCCGTTCCGCGAGACATGGGGCTCTGCTACAGCCTGCGCCCGAGGCTCTTCGGCGACTCCGGAGGCGGCGAGCGCCCCCCCCCCGATGTTGCGCCCGGTGCGGCCGGCCCCCCCTGCACCCCCCACGCTACGCCACTGTAGACGTGCCATTTTCAAGAACCTCGCCCAGTTCTACAGATATGGAGGCCAAATGCCCAGGAGGTTTTGCAGGAGAAGCGCTCTCTCCTTGGGCTTTAAAGGGACACCTGACGTTTCCCACCTCCCTTTGATGTGTGTTTAAAATTGCTGGGAAATAATTTCTCTGCGTAAGGCGTATGGCAAAAATCACCCATGGGAGGAGCAGTTGGAAGCAAAGAAGGGTGTTTAACCCTCTCCCTGCCAACCGCATTCTGCCTCTAGTTTTCATCCCTGAGCTGGTTTGCCTCCTGTTGGGTTCCAGGCACGGTCTTAGTTGCTCCTGGAACCCCTCTGAAGGCAGGTCTTAGTTGAGGTGGGTCAGGAAAGGGTTAAGCATCCTGTTCCCCCTCCCCCCCTTACTAATGCATTCCAAAATGATCTCCTCTCTCCTTGAACTGCTTTGCACTAACATAAGTGGCCAGCAGGTATTATCAGGTATTTATGTGTAATATGTAGTCCTGCCCTTAGTGGCATCAGTGGAACTTTTTTGAGAAAAGAAATAATAATTCAGAAGTTTTCCTACTTAGCCCCTGCATAAAGGTAAAGGTAAAGGTACCCCTGCCCGTAGGGGCCAGTCTTGACAGACTCTGGGGTTGTGCGCCCATCTCACTCTAGAGGCTGGGGGCCAGCACTGTCCGCAGACACTTCCGGGTCACGTGGCCAGCGTGACAAGCTGCATCTGGCGAGCCAGCACAGCACACGGAAACGCCGTTTACCTTCCCGCTGGTAAGCGGTCCCTATTTATCTACTTGCACCCGGGGGTGCTTTCGAACTGCTAGGTTGGCAGGCGCTGGGACTGAGCAACGGGAGCGCACCCCGCCACGGGGATTCGAACCGCCGACCTTTCGATCGGCAAGCCCTAGGCGCTGAGGCTTTTACCCACAGCGCCACCCGCGTCCCTAGCCCCTGCATACCACCCTCCAAAAAGGATTCTTTTCTAGTGTGTTGTTGGGGCTGAAATCCTGAGCCTATTTAACACTCCCTGAGGAAGCCCCACCAAAATTTCGTGGAACTTCCTCCTGGGTAAACCCGCTTTTGCCCTCTTTCTTGCTAGCTAACCCTTTAACAACTTTTCACTTCTAAATTGCACTAGATGGATTGTGGATATTTTTTTAAGCTCTAGCCTTTTCTATTATTCTTTTATTATTATCTATATGCCAAATATTACATGCACAGGAAAATGACAGCAATAATTTATATAAATAATAATAATAATAATAATAATATTTTTGGGGGGGGGAAAGGATTCTAAAATGAACCAGCACATGTAAACCGCCTACTTATGATGCGCTTGGAAACAAGCTCTAAACAGCACAAACAGATTTTTCAACGCTGATTGTAGCCTGCAGGCTGGATCCACGTTTAACGTTTAACTGTACTTGGAGAGTCCCACTGAAATCGATGGTACAGTACTTCATTGGGTCAACTCTTAAGTAGGTCAAGTTATGAGGTCCAGCCCTGTACACCAGTGGTTCCCCCACTTTTAGAGGGGGCTACCTCTCCCTTGGTTCCATAAACTCAACCCCAATGACCCCTACCCTGTCAAAAGGACTGTCCAAAATAGCAGTTTGCGCCATCTGCTAAAGAAGATAACTCAAGACGGTAGAAACTGCACATTTACCCATAATCCAGTTAAAAGCATTTAGTTTAATTGATTCATCAGAATTGATGAACTTGATCCAGTGATACTAGCTCTTCAATGGGGTAAAAATAATAAAATAATTATTATCAGCCACTTACACCTCTAGACACCTCCTTGCCTCTTAGCATCTCTCCCCCCCCCCACTAGTAACCCCACTGGAGGGTGGAACCGCCCACTTTGGGAATGACTGCTGTACACTCTTTAGTCCAAATGTACATTTCATTCCATTCTTGTTCATGGTTTCAGCCTCTGGTGGAAACTAGAGAGCGGGGCACCTTTTTAAAAAGGGTGCGTCTGTTTTCTGGGGGGGTTATTTTAAGAACTCTTGGGATCCAAGCAAGAGCAGCTCAGGATTGCAAAAGCTGACTAGCATTGCTCTGGCTAAGGATTGGGTCTCTCACAAACAGGGATGTGCCTCTCTTGACGGTGGGCAACTGAAAGTGTGAACTGGCTTGTGTCGTGCGTGAGGTCATGCGAAATCGGCAGAGAGTCCCGCCCATGCAAGAATTTGCAACTAACCAGTGGTAAAAAGTGCATGTCTGAGCCAGAACCTAGTGTCTGAAGTAGACACACCTTTGCAGGCTTATGGAAGCTGTACCTGAGCAATGGACCAGTGTAGAGTTGCCAACCATCTTGTGTTTTAAGGGCGATCCTGAAGGAATTGCACCACAGGGGGTTGGACTAAATGACCCTCTAGGTCCCAAATCTATGAATATCCTGCTGTATTAAACTTCGTAATGTAAACAAGGGCCGCCCAGCAAAGTGCCCTTGTTTCGGCACAGGGTTGGCTGATGGGTGACACACCTCCGATTGCAACTGGAGTTACCTGTGTGAGATTTAGCAATAATAGAAATGTACTCTTGATGGGAAGGACAGCGTAACGTAGTCTCTGAAAGCTGTGAACTGAAAGGGCCCCAGTTCAAGTCTTACCTCTACTGTGAATTCATTAGGTGCTCATACACAAACCCCTTTCTCTGCCTCGATGTCCCTTTTGTAGAATGGAGGGGAGATAATACAGGTCTATTTTTCAGAGCTGTTGTAAGGATCGCAGAGGTTATGTATGTGGTGCGCTTTGACATCTTAGAATGCAGATATAAATGCTAAGTTTTTGGCTAAAAAGTGGATGAACTTCTGTTTGTTTTACATGTGTTCTTTACAACTTCCTGACAGTAGTTGCTGTTTGACAGTGGGACAAACCCCCTCAGCAGATGGTAGAGGTTTTTAAGCAGAGGTTGGATGGCCATCAGTCAGGGACTCTTTAGCTATGGCTCCTGCTTTGCAGGGGGTTGGACTAGATGACCCCTTTGAGTCCCTTCCAGCTCTACAATTCTGAGATTCTATGTACTAATCAGGTCTGTGATAGGCCTATGTCTGGTTCTTTTGTGGGGTCTTATTGGGCAGATTTCTCTACTGTGTCCAATGATCTGTGCCAGAGGATTTCAACCTTTTTGGGTCCACGGCTCCCTTGACCAACTGCACAGGGCCGTCTTACCCATAGGCCCTAGGGATGCCAGGCTCTCAGGGGTGCTAGGCCAAGAGTCCAGGGCCTGAGAGTTCAGTACGGGAAAGAGCCGGCCCGTCGGTTAGAGCACTGTGACGGGCTCTTCTGCTGTGGGTGGCTCTGTGCTGTGAGTTTGGGGGCAACCGAGCCAGCAAGACGCTGTGGCAACCAGCCGGCTCCGCCCTCCTGTGCGCCTGGGACTGGGCAACCTGGGGGGTGGTGCTGGGTGGATCTTTGACCCCGGTGCCGCATATGCTTAAGACAGCCCTAAAACTGCATTCTTTCTGTGGCACCCCTGTGGGGCTCAGGAGCCCAGTTGTGTCACCCCCTTGGCTGCCAAGCTGGCAGCATCTCACGCTTTTTCGAACATCTTCCCTTGTGGAGTGTTCCCTCAGCCTCCTTCCCTTTCCTTGGGAGTCCCTCAGGCAGCTGCTACCACCACCTATGGTCTCTGAGCTGCTCCCCCGCCCCAAAGAGAGGTGCCTCCTCCCACTGCCCCACAGGGGCTGGGGAAGCACCCCCTGACTAGTCCCAGAGGCACCATTCGCCTGGGGAGCTTGCAGCCAGGGCTGCTGCAACAAACAGCTGTGCAAGCCTTTGGGAGCCAGAGACAGGAGAGGGCATCAGAGGAGGGAGGGACAGAGGCCAGTGTTGCCCACGGCACCCCGGACCATCCTTCAAGGCACCCCAGGGCGCCAAGGCACACTGGTTGAAAGCCACTGTTCTATGCAGCCACACCCAGCCTCCTGAAGAGGGGAGGGTTTTCTCACAAGGCGCTGCTTATGACCATCCTCCCTCTGCTCCAAGGAGCCCATACGGCTGGCTCTGATCTTGGAGGTGGGCAGGAGATGCTTCCAGCCCTTGCCTTCCTAGGGGCCAGCAGGTCCTTGAGCATGAAAGTCCTCGGTGCGGCTTCTATCCCAGAGCACAGAAAACTGTTCAGACAATCTTCATAGCATTGGAAGGTAGCCTCAGAAGCCACTGCCACCATCGAAGGCAGTCTTGCCTCGTCAGGAAAGTCTTCCTAATGCATAGTTGAAATTATTGTAGGTTGAACGCATTGACTTGAGTACTGCTCTCTGGAGGAAATAAATTTTGCTCCATCATCTATGTGATAAGCCTCCCAAATATTCGAAGATAGCTGTCGTGTCACCTCTTACCCAGCCCAAAATGTCTCCTAGTGCGACTTTTGCAAATGAAATGATTGGCTAGGAAGAAAAGTCCCTCTCCCCACTACCAGACAGAGAAAAAAAGTTGTGCCAAAAAATTGCTCCTAGGGCCTAGTTCAGATCCGAAGTAGAACCCAGTGGCGGTGCTTTTCCTGGAATGTACCATTTCAGGCTGGAGGGGAGTTGCTTCTTTGAATGAGGCACGCACATGGACCAATAGCACACTGGGCAAATGAGTAGGTGGCCTTCTGGCATGCTACATGTGTTGTGAGTTTACCAGATGGAGGGTGACTCAGATTTGCAATGGCCACACACACCCTTGAAACCGAATTGGTCCTGTCCAGAAACACTTTACCACTCCACACTTCGGAACGTGCAAGTTGGCTTTAAGCTGTTCTTAAATCTCCCCCCCCCCCTTAGATCTGTGTTTACATCGCGGCTGACTTAAGCTGTGGCCCTCTGGATGCAGGCTCGACTCCAACTCCCATCATCACTGGCTGTTGGCCATGCTGGCTGGAGCTGATGGGACCCAGAGTCCAGCAACACTTGGAGGGCTGCTGCAAGTTCACCACTTTTAATCCACGGGGTTTCACCTGCTTCAGACAATATATTTGTTGCTTGGTAAGAATAAATTGCAGTCTCCATTCTGAACAGAACTGGTACCCGTTTGTTCTATCAGTGCTGTGTGCTACATTGCTGGAGAACCTGCAGCTTGGCAGGGGACCTTTTCTGGAAAAGCTTCTGTTGGGAGGCTTCCATCAGGCGAAAAGGGAAGTATCCTGAGGCTTTGAGGGCACAAAGTTAATAAGCGTCCAGGGATGCGTGAGTGTATGGATGCATGTGCGTGCAATTTTCCCCACAACCCCTAGTGAGAAAGAGCTGTTTTTGCTGAGCTGAGCTAGCAATATCTTGATCTGTCATTCACATGCAATATAATACTTGGTGTCCCTAGTCTTCCATCTTCAACAGTGCTATCTTCAGAATTTATGTTTAGCTGGATTGGGGGGAAAAACTTTCTTTTATCCATGGATCTCTCAAAGGCTTGTGCTGTGGGGGGGAGAGGTTCGGACCATGGATTTCATAAAACCGCCTTGTGAATACCACTTTATATAGTATGAAGCACATGCAACTAGATTATTTTGTTTTAATTAAAGCACTTTGTCAATAGAAATGCAACAGTAGTCCTCTGGTTTTATTCAATTGTTGTGGGAAGAAATGAGGAAGAATGAAATGAGGGCACAGTTTGGATCTGAGACCCCCACAGTTCTGGAAGGTTTGGGGTTATGTGAGGAGAAAGTTGAATTAATTTAGTAGGCGGGATAGGGACCGACTCCCTGAAACTCTACATTGTTCTTCTCAATAAACTTTTCCTTGTTTAAGATATGCCATTTTGCCCAGGCTTATGCAAGAAATGTTCAGCTGAGGTCACACTAGTGCTTTTAAGTTTTAAGCTGCTTGCAAATAATATTGGTGGGTTCAGTGCACTTCTAGACTGTCACTAGTCGGGGGAGGGATTCACCCTCACATTAGCAAATCACACACGCAAAATATAGTATAAACACTGACAACTGGGAAACACTGGCCTGCAAGTGCTCCAACTGGAGAACAGCCTTGACCAAAGGTGTCATGGGCTTTGAAGACACTCAAACTCAGGACACAAGGGAGAAACGTGCTAAGAGGAAGGGCACACTTGGCAAATCCACACCGTGATCAACTCCCACCTGGAAACCAATGTCCCCACTGTGGAAGGACGTGTGGCTCCAGAATTGGCCTCCACAGTCACTTACGGACTCATTGTTAAAACTATGTTTATGGAAGACAATCTTACTCGGTTACGAGGGATCGCCAAAGAAGAAGAAGGACGAGATGGCCCTTGTGGGTTGGGTCCCCTGCAACTCCCTTGATTCTATGAGATTCAGGTGGCCCAATTAATGCTGATTTGGAGTTCTTGTGTAACAACAAATCCACTTCCCCAAATGATCTGACTTTTTCTGATAAGGAAAAATGCACAGGAAAGTGTGGAGTAATGCCCTGTAGCCTCAAGATAAATCAATAAACAGGTCGTCTGGCTATGACCTGAGAAGCTGCCAACTGCAGTGTCAAGTAAGGACACTGACATACAGCTGTTACCAGTTCCAGTTAAGAAACAGGAAGCTACCTTGTCTCAAATTAGCACATTGCCAGGAGTCTTTGCCCAGGACTATGTGTGCAAAGTTGGGGCTCTCCCATGGGCTCACAACTTACTCTGGGGCATTTGGGATAACCAGGTAGCTACCTACCTGGTGAATGGTCGCAGACAAAAGTGGAGTCCTGGCCTTGAAGGGGTGAGCTTTTGACATGCCTGATGCCAGCTTGAGTTTGTTCTGAATAAAGATGTTCACTCACCATCCTTTGTGCACATCTCACAGTAGCAGGTGACAGAGAGCCCTGAGGACCTTTGCGGCGGCACTTTTTCCCTTGGGCCCACCCTCACTTAAATATAGTGCATCCACCTCGCAGAACACCAATTCCACAGATTCCTACAAACTGCCCCAGATTATCTTGCGGGGGACTTGTGTAAGGGAAGACTTAATACTTTGGAGTCCTGGGCAGGATTTGATCAAATAAACAATAAAGATTTTATTAAACAAAGGAAGTTTATGACACGAAGTGGGTAAAACGTGAGATACTGCAGATTATAATGTTATTTCACTTCAGTTCTTTCTCAGTTGTTGCACAGCTGTTGCCGCTTAATACTTTGGTTCTTAAACAAGGTGGAACTTCCTGTCAGCTCCGGAGGTACTCCAAGTAACAGACCCAAGGGATCACCACACCCCTCTTAACTGGTTTGGGGATCTTCTCTTTTCATAGAATCTCTCCCCTCCTGACCGGAATGAGACCTAAGTAGAATGTATCTTTCGGGACGCGGGTGGCGCTGTGGGTAAAACCTCAGTGCCTAGGGCTTGCCGATCGCATGGTTGGCGGTTCGAATCCCCGTGGCGGGGTGAGCTCCCATCTTTCGGTCCCAGCTCCTGCCCACCTAGCAGTTCGAAAGCACCCTTAAGTGCAAGTAGATAAATAGGTACCGCTTTATAGCGGGAAGGTAAACGGCGTTTCCATGTGCTGCGCTCGTGCTGGCTCACCAGAGCAGCTTTGTCACGCTGGCCACGTGACCCGGAAGTGTCTCCGGACAGCGCTGGCCCCCGGCCTCTTAAGTGAGATGGGCGCACAACCCTAGAGTCGGACATGACTGGCCCGTACGGGCAGGGGTACCTTTACCTTTAGACTGTATCTTTCCAGCTTCTACTTCTCCTATCTCCACCTCAGCCTCCCAGTTAATTCCTGGCCTATTATTACAGGATACCACACCCTGTCCTTCACACTAAGCTCAGAGACTCCTTTTTCTAGTTTTGATATATTCCTCAGAGTGGATGTTTCTACCCAGAACCAACTCTCTCTCCTCTTACTCCCTATCTCCCAACCTATTCTCCCAACCTCTATCCGAACCTAAAAAACTGTCTCTCATAATCAGGCTTCCTCAACCTTGGCCCTCCAGATGTTTTTGGCCTACAACTCCCATGATCCGTAGCTAGTAGGACCAGTGGTCAGGATGATGGGAATTGTAGTCTCAAAACATCTGGAGGGCCGAGGTTGAGGAAGCCTGCTCAAAATCCTCTCCTTTTCAACTCCCCCTCCTGGAACCCCGGCCATTCAGAAGCTGCCGTTAGTTAACCGTTTGCTGGCAGGGGAAAAGGAAAACACTTGGTGACCCAACCTGCCCAGCAAAAACAAACTTTTCCATCACAACCTTTCTTCTCCTGACGAGATCCACTGGGTATGAACCAGCCCTGTACAACTTGAGATGACCCAGTTTGCAGGTTGCACTGACCTGTGGCAGCTCTGCAGGGCCTTGATAAGCCTCCTGGATGTGTTGTTTGCCCAGGATCCTGAACATTGTGTGTGTATGTGTGGGTCACGAGTTGTGCAGGATGACTGTCTAAAGAGCCTAGCTTGCTCCATTGACCAGTCAGGTGGCGATGAGGCATCAAGCTTTTGTTCCATTCTGGGGAGCCCTGATGTGCTCTGACAACAACTCTGTTTCCAGCTCACAGAGGATTCACGCTGTCAGCAGCCTTTCACAGGCAGAGAGCCTTTCCCTCTGAGGGTCCCCATCCGCCACTGGTGGTTGCTCCTAGGAGAAAGTAAGTGCAATGGACTTTCTTACCTGCTGGTGTAGATTGTGAGTTTTCTGCCTTCCTTTGGGGGGTTTTAACACTTCAGCTGCAATCCAAACAATTTGCTTCCTGAGAGTTTGTGCTTATTCCAACCTACCACTTTCCCCCTCTCACTAATTGCAGCATTGGGGGGGGGGGGGACACAACAGATTTCCATGAAGATCCCAGGGAGCGAAGGCAGCATTCCTTCCTGTCCGGTGGAACAAATAGCCTCCCTTGCACTTGCTACTATATTGTTGCACACCAACCCAAACTTGGAGTGCTGAGAGATTCCAAGGGTTCTAGGTTTGGTTTCATTGGAATGAAGATCAGCCGAGACTGTGGTGTCTTTAGGATATATAGTTGTATTTAAACATATATACAACCTGAGCATAAAATGAAGGGGTTCACAGCATTAGCAGCCTGACAGATTTCGCTTCAATAGGGACAAATGTAACGTTCTGCACTTAGGCAGAGATAACCAGCTGCACAAATATAAGATTTGGGACATCTGGCTTGCATGCAAAAAACAATATAGGGATCTTAATAGACCACAAGCTTAACATGAGTCAAAAGTGTGATGCAGGAGCAAAAAACGCTGATGCCATTTGAGGTGGCAGCAACAGAAGTCAAGTGTCCACATTGAGGAAAGTTATACTCCTCCTCTATTCTTCCTTGGTCAGACCCCACCTGGAGTCCTGTGTACAGTTCTGGGCACCTCAGTTTAAGAAGGATATTGATAAGTTGCAATGTGTGCAGAGGAGGGCAGCCAAGATGAACAAGGGTCTGGAAGGCAAGCCTTATGAGGAACAGTCGAGGGAGTTGGGTATGTTTAACCTGGAGAGAGAAAAGCAGAGACATCACCTTGCCAACAAAGGTCCGTATAGTTAAAGCTATGGTTTTCCCAGTAGTGATGTATGGAAGTGAGAGCTGGACCATAAAGAAGGCTGATCGCCAAAGAATGGATGCTTTTGAATTATGGTGCTGGAGGAGACTCTTGAGAGTCCCATGGGCTGCAAGAAGATCAAACCTATCCATTCTTAAGGAAATCAGCCCTGAGTGCTCACTGGAAGGACAGGTCGTGAAGCTGAGGCTCTAATACTTTGGCCACCTCATGAGAAGAGAAGACTCCCTGGAGAAGACCCTGATGTTGTGAAAGATGGAGGGCAGAAGGAGAAGGGGACGACAGAGGACGAGATGGTTGGACAGTGTTCTCGAAGCTACCAGCATGAGTTTGACCAAACTGCGGGAGGCAGTGGAAGACAGGAGTGCCTGGCGTACTCTGGTCCACAGGGCCACGAAGAGTCAGACACGACTAAACAACTAAACAACAACAAAAAACCTGGAGAAGAGAATACTAAGGGCTGTCACATGGAAAATGGAGCAAGCTTGTCTTCTCCTGCTCTGGAGAGTAGGACACAAACCAATGCCTTCAAGTCTCTCTCTCTCTCTCTCTCTCTCTCTCTCTCTCTCTCTCTCGTGTGTGTGTGTGTGTGTAAAAGGCCTATTCACTTGCTCTATGGCACGGAGCAACTGCTTTGGTTAGGATAATCATGATGCTTGACTTGGTGTGCCAAGTTTGCTCTCATACCTTCTACCTCTCCCTCCCTGCCCCCCCCCAATACTGGACCCCAAGAATTGGAAGGGACTTGGGGCATCATGCAGACTGACCCTGCCCCAGCCCAAACCTACAATGATATGCTTATCCGCTTTGATTCTCTGCAACATGGTATTGAGCAACATGTCTAGTTAGGACGGGGAAATGAATCTGAGTCTAATCTCACAATAATTGCTCTTCTTCTGCTCCACATTTGCACTTAAGAAATGCGATGGATGCACACACACACACACACACACACACACACACACACACACACACACATTGTTTCACATGCTTTATGGATTATTAATCCTCAAGGAGCGTAAAGTCAAAAGCTCATCGGGTATTGGCTCTCTCATATTTCCCTTGTTGCAAGACATTTTTCTCACTGGAAACAAAACCCCAGCGACAGCAGTACAATCAGCACAAATGACATGGCACAGGTCGCGAGTCAGAGGCCTGGCCTATACAAGGGGGAAACCTTTATGCTGTAAGTTAGGGGGCTCCCATTACTGAGGGAAAGGGCCTCTGATTTCCCTAAGCTATCAAGGCCCTGCGCAGCCAGGCTGCTTTTTAATGGAACATTACTGGGCCAAACTGCACTCAAATAAATTTCAATAGGGACACTTTGGCATGGATAACCAGATGCAGAAATTTGTGGGGGGGGGCAGCTGGCTTGACAGCAGGACATGAGTCAACAATGTGATGAAGCAGCAGAAAAAGCTATCACAATTGTAGATCAAGGGAAGTAATAGAACTACTCCATTCTGCCTTGGTCAGACCTGGAGTTAGTTAGTTAGTTAGTTAGTTAGTTAGTTAGTTAGTTAGTTAGTTAGTTAGTTAGTTTTTTCACTTTCAAAACACAGTTCTTTTATTCTCCTGGAAAGGCAGCTGTATATTACAAAGCCTAAAGATGTGAAAACGCACACACACCGAGTGATTACTTCAGAAAGCAGTTTTGTGGTCTTAAAAGTTACAGTCCTGATGTTTCAAATGTTAAAGCTTTCTCCACAACCACACGTCCCTTTGATGTTTGGGTTGTTGAAAACAAAATCACTGGACAGTTTGTCTTCTATATAGTCCATTTCAGTTCCTAGAAGTGTGAGTTGCACTTTCTTTTCAATAAACACTCTAACACCTTCCTGTACTACTTCCTCATCAGAGCATCAGAGTCCCCCTTTGAATTTTGTGTATTCTAGTGTACAGTGGTACCTCGGGTTAAGTACTTACTTCGTTCCGGAGGTCTGTTCTTAACCTGAAACTGTTCTTAACCTGAAGCACCACTTTAGCTAATGGGGCCTCCTGCTGCCGCTGCGCCGCTGGAGCACGATTTCTGTTCTCATCCTGAAGCAAAGTTCTTAACCTGAGGTACTATTTCTGGGTTAGCGGAGTCTGTAACCTGAAGCGTATGTAACCTGAAGCGTATGTAACCCGAGGTACCACTGTATAGGAAAGTCCATTACAGCCTCTTGTGTGGACACCAACTTTAACGCTGACATGGTCAGGTTTGTCTTTAAGCAGTTGTTTTATCTTCTGCACAGCAGATCAGGTCAGTGTAAGGGCAGCTGTAGTGGCCTGAATCTTCCTCTTGCTCACGGCCCGAATGGTGGCTCTGACCATGGAAGAGGCCATCTCTTCTGCTCCGCCCTTTCAACCCCGTCCACTGAGGTTGTCCATGGACACGGCGGATGGAGCGACACACAGCTGGGTGTCATGGCACGTGGGTGGAGTAGAGTTTATGAAGGTTATTGACAAGCTGGAATTTGTGCTGAGGATCAGGCCATCTAGTCCGATGCCTCTGGCAAACCTGCAAGAGGACTCAAGCACAAGGGCAACTCTCCCCGCCTGTGGCTTCCAGCAATTGGTATGCTGCGTCCAGCTGTAGAGGCAGAGCACAGTCATCCATGAATTTGTCTAATCCCCATTTGAAGCCATCTAGGCTGGTGGTAGGACTTGCCGATCAGAAGGTCGGTGGTTCGAATCCCTGTGACGGGGTGAGCTCCCATTGCTCGGTCCCAGCTCCTGCCAACCTAGCAGTTCAAAAGCACGTCAAAGTGCAAGTAGATAAATAGGTACCACTCCGGCAGGAAGGTAAATGGCGTTTCCGTGCGCTGCTCTGGTTCGCCAGAAGCGGCTTAGTCATGCTGTCAACATGACCCGGAAGCTGTACGCCAGCTCCCTCAGCCAATGAAGCGAGATGAGCGCCGCAACCCCAGAGTCGGTCACGACTGGACCTAATAGTCAGGGGTACCTTTACCTTTACCTTAGGCTGGTGGCCACCACTGCTTCCTGCATCAGGGAGTTCCATTGTTCCCCAGGGCTACAACTGTTTTGCACAAAGATACGGCAACTCGGGCTTTCATAGGATCTCCTGGGCGCTGTGGCTTTCCCATTCGCCAAGACCATGTTAAAAACTAGGCTGTGGGACATAGATCGCCAGGAACTAATCTCAGCTGTGGAAAAAACATGTTCCCCTCTTTATTTTCGACTTTCTTGGGCGCAGGAATTTAACCGTAATTATTTACAATTTTTGCTTAACCTGCAAGAAAGAAGGGCCTTTTTGCTGGCTAGGTTCAATTCTAATCCTTCTAACCTCCCTTGGGGTAGGTTTGCGGGTTTGGCAGAAGGAGACAGGATCTGTCCATGCGATGCCTACCTGGTGGAAACTCTAGCTCACATGGCCCTTAAATGTAAAATGTATGATGATCTCCTTACCTCCTGGCAAAAAAAAGGGGAAGAAATGGAGGCAGTGAGAGATTTTACTTCCTTGGGCTCCATGATCACTGCAGATGGTGACAGCAGTCACGAAATTAAAAGACGCCTGCTTCTTGGGAGAAGGGCAATGACAGGCCTAGACAGCATCTTGAGAAGTAGAGACGTCACCTTGCCGACAAAGGTCTGTATAGTAAAATCTATGGTTTTCCCAGTAATGATGTATGGAAGTGAGAGCTGGACCATAAAGAAGGCTGATCGCCGAAGAATGGATGCTTTTGAATTCTGGTACTGGAGGAGACTCTTGAGAGTCCCATGGACTGCAAGAAGATCAAACCTATCCATTCTGAAGGAAATCAGCCCTTTCATGAGAAGGGAACACAACTAAACGACTAAACAACATGATGATCTCCGCCAACAATTTCTAGACCATCTATGTATTCCAACATGGAAACCAGAGATGGAGGTTACGCACTTCTTATTACAGGGGAGAGACCAGGAGCTCACCAAGACAGTAGCTAAGTTCCTCTATTTGATTTTTTGTCGCCAAAGTATGCTACAGGATCTTGCCCTTGCTGGAAACCCACAGAGATGAGGCTGTCTGCTCACCTCTTCTGCCCTTTGGCGGGTGACTGTGCTGTTGGGGTGGCGATGAGATCGCACTGGCCTATCTATTCTGAATGTATTCTGAATGTTCTTATGCGAGGCCAATAAAGGCGACTTGACTTTATTGCCCTCCAGCGGCCCCTCAGGCAAGTCACTCCAACATCTTCCCTTTTGAAGTTCTTGCAAAAGGTTTTTTTTTTGGGGGGGAGGGGGTTGGGGGCAACAGCAGAGAACTGCTGAGCCAGAAGCCTCCGGCAGTTGGCCTGCGGGTGACAGCAGCTGAAGGGTGTGTGTGTTTGGACTGGAGTATTGTTTTCTTTCCTGGGACTCAGGCTTTTGTGCAAATGAGTCATGTGAGTGGCAAGCCCCGGAGGGCCAATGGCTCAGCAATTTCACCCTCTTTGTTGTGCTGCTGTTCCCAGAAGGTTCTGCCCTGTCACTAGGCCTGGATTATTGTGTTGAGGGCAGGGACTTTTCAGTTTACAGGAAAGGCTAGTAAGGGCTCATCCACTCATAACTTTTGCCCTGCGCTTTCTAGGCACAGGCCTGCACTTTCCTGCTTCATGTCTGAGCACTTTTTCCATTTTCTTTGCCCTGCTTACTGCATGGCCCAAGAAAACCTGCTGGCGCTGTGGGTTAAACCACAGAGCCTAGGACTTGCTGATCAGAAGGTCGGTGGTTCGAATCCCTGCGACGGGGTGAGCTCCCGTTGCTCGGTCCCTGCTCCTGCCCACCTAGCGGTTCGAAAGCACGTCAAAGTGCAAGTAGATAAATAGGTACCGCTCCGGCGGGAAGGTAAACGGCGTTTCCGTGCGCTGCTCTGGTTCGCCAGAAGCGGCTTAGTCATGCTGGCCACATGACCCGGAAGCTGTACGCCGGCTCCCTCGGCCAATAAAGCGAGATGAGCGCCGCAACCCCAGAGTCGGCCACGACAGGACCTAATGGTCAGGGGTCCCTTTACCTTTACCTTTACAGAACAGACGGCAATCTGGGTTTTCCGTGAAAGAGGAGGCTTTTGCAGGGAAAGTGGCGAGGCAACATGACAGATGTTTATGAAATCATGCATGGCTTGGAGAAAGTGTTTAGAGAAAAGTTCCCCTCCCTCTCTCATAAAACTCGGCTTTGTGGGCATCCAAGGAAGCTGAGGGCTGGGCAGTTAAAAGGAAGGGTTTCTCCCGCAGTGCAGAGTTGAACTTTGGAGCTTTGGGTAAGTGGTGGGTGCCAACCTGGATGACTTTAAAAGAGGATTGGGAAAATCCATGGAGGATTATTAAGCAATCATTGGCTCCTAGCCAGGATGGCTGTTCTGCCTCCCACTTGGAGGCAGCGATGCCCCTGAACACCAGTTGCTGGAAACCACAGGAGGGGAGAGAGGGCTCTTGTTCTGGGATCCTGCTCGTTGGGCACTGTGAGAACAGGATGCTAGACTAGATGGGGCTCCTTTGGCCTGATCCAGCAGGTTCTTCTGTTGTTCTGATGTTCATCATCATCATCATCATCATCATTTATTATTTGTACCACACCCATCTGGCTGGGTCTCCCCAGCCACTCTGGGCGGCTTCCAACAAAGATTACAAATAAATTAAAACGACACACATTAAAAGCTTCCCTAACCAGGGCTGCCTTCAGATGTCTTCTAAATGTCAGGTAGTTGTTCATCTCTTTGACATCTGATGGGAGGGCATTCCACAGGGTGGGTGCCACTACCGAGAAGGCCCTCTGCCTAGCTCCCTGTAACTTGGCTTCTCGCAGTGAGGGAACTGCCAGAAGGCCCTCGGCGCTGGACCTCAGCATCCGGGCAGAACGATGGGGGTGGAGACTCTCCTTCAGGTATACTGGACTGAGGCTGTTTAGGGCTTTAAAGATCAACACCAACACTTTGAATTGTGCTCGGAAATGTGCTGGGAGCCAATGTAGGTCTTTCAAGTGTTATGTGATCTCGGCAGCCACATAAACCAGCCTTCTGCCTGGAAACCAGTAAAGCAAATGCCTTTTTTTGCCTGAGACGCATTCCATGCCAGACTTTGCCAGGATGCCATGTCTAAGCTGCGGCATCCCAGAATGGCTGCAACTCTCTCAGGAGCAGGCAGGGTTAGAATCCAGGACTCTTCTGTGGGGAGTCACTCAAGCTGCAGGGACAATGCCAGGATTGTTGCTTTAGCCTACTGTGCTCTGCTACAGCTACAGAGCCAACCAAGGCCTTCCCTTGGCTCCTTCTAGCTCAGGCATAGGCAAACCCTGGCCCTCCAGATGTTTGGGACTACAATTCCCATCACCCCTAGCTAACAGGACCAGTGGTCAGGGATGATGGGAATTGTAGTCTCAAACATCTGGAGGGCCGGAGTTTGCCTATGCCTGCTTTAGCTAACTTAACGCTTTCAGCTAAAGCCTCAGTCCAGGTCTGCCTTCCCACACCTGGTGCTTTGGCCCACATCCCCCACCAGCCCCAGCCAGCACAGCCACCTGCCTGCTAGGGTTGCCAACTGACCAGTGCAGTGCAGCTGCAATGCAGAAATGTGGGAAATGGATCCTCAGCTCTGTTCTGCCAATGGAGCACAGAGCATAGCTGTCAACTTACAGATTTGAAAATAAGGGACCAGCAGCCTTGAAAATAAGGGACCAGCAGCCAAAATATGGGACCTGCAGCCTCACCTGTTCCAGGCACTCCAGTCTTCCTGTCCTCCTGCAGTCTGGTCAAACTTCGAGAACACTGTCCAACCAACTTTGTAACCAGAGGTTCAACTGAATATAATCTGAATCACATGCACCACGAGGCCTGTGCAGCCTCAACTTAAGATGGCTCCCCGGCCTGGCTTTGCACTGCAAAGTTTGCAGCAGCACGTGCAACAAAATGGCGTCCGGCATTCAAAAACCCCCTCAGCTTGCATTAACTAGCCACACACAAGGCATGCAAGCTCCACCCCCCAGTTGTTCTTAGACTTCTTACTGGGTGAGCAACACAGCCAAGCAACACAGTTGGAGCCTCCCTCCTCCCTGACCGGCAGAGAAGGAGGGAGAGGAGCTGCTTCCTTTGAAATTTAAGGGACATCATTTAAGGGACATCCATCAATAAGGGACAGCAGCGGGACATGGCGCTGGAATAAGGGACTGTCCCTTCAAATAAGGGACACTTGACAGCTGTGGCACAGAGGTGTAGCAAGGGCTGGACTTCAGGCCCAACATCCTTCAGGGCCTGCAGAAGACCCAGAGAGCTCTGATTCCTGCTTTGCTGCTGGACTGTGAAATAAAAAAAATAAGGTCTTATATATATATATAATAAATGTTCATTCATAAATGTACCAAGCAAACATGTACATAAATCCATAAACCACATGTCTGAAGCAGCACAGGAGAACAGCCATGAAGCCATTTTGGCTCCCAAACTGACCAAAGGTTTTCTCTGCAAAGTCAAAGGAAAATGGAAAAGCTTCCCCATTGTTTTTTCCTTCACAAATCCTGTCTTAAGGGTATCTCTGTGTGTGAATAAGGTGAGCCTGTGACCTGGCTCAGGAACTAAGTATTTATCATTACAGGAGACTGGCCAGGCTCCCCAGGGATTTCCAATCAAGTAAGCATTAACAGGTAACCTGCTAGACAGGAGGTAAACAACGCGCTCAGATTTCTGTTGTAGACCACCCCTTTCTGTGATGTAGGTATGATGTATCTGGGGGGTGGTCTTGAGCTACACCCCTTCTGTGATGTATGTATGATGTTTCTAGGGGTGGTCATGGACTCCAGGGTGGGCAATTTTAAATGTCTACATAAGGGCGGGCACACCTGGGTTCTGGGTCCTCCTCCTTCTCCTGCGTGTGAAGGGGGCACCCTGTTGCAACAGGTCAATAAAGATCAGGCTTACGAGCTGCTTTGCTTCTCAATATTCTCTGGTTGGCCTTTGTTGTTTTTCCCCAGCCGATGGAGAACCTGCAAAGGACTCTATAAGGGCTCTTGTGTCCCCCATAAGGGAATAAGGGCAGATTTTTCTTTATTACAACGGGCTGACTCTTGGAAGTCCCTTCCGACTCTACAATTCTAGGATCTTTCACCTTCTCTTTCTGTTTCAGGTACAACACCATGAGGGAGAGCTGGGCTGCCTGGTCCTGGGTCGTGGTGCTGCTGGTTGCTCTCGTCAGCGAGCCTGCCTTTTGCCGCAGGGGAGGAGGAAGAGGAGGCGGCGGGGGCAGCGGGGGCAGCAAAAGCGGAGGGTCATCGCGCGGCGGGTTCCACTCCCTGCCAAAGAGCAGCAGCAGCAGTAGCGGGCAAAGCTCCAGCAGCAGCCGTGGCGCGAAGGTGGCAGGGGCCGCAGCAGTGGGGGCAGCCGTGGGATACGGCCTGAGCTCCCTCGGGAGGTCTCGCTTCTCCCGAGGAGGCCAAGGCTCTTCCTCGGCCGGCAAGCACATGTTGCAGCCCGGATTCCAGAACCCCAACTGGTCGGACCCCATGATGGAAGGCGAGCTCTACAGTCAAGCGGCCAAGGATCCCCGGGCAGGGACCCTCCTGACCTTCTCCCCTGTGGTGTGGGGGGTCACCTGCCTCCTGCTCCAGGGCTGAGGCAGAGCCCTATTGTCCCCAGAGAGGAGCAGGCCCGGGAGGCCATTGTGTGCTGTGCTGTGAAGGATGGCGTTTGTGGTAGCTTGTAGTGAGAAAGAGGCTGGTGTGAGGTTCAGTGGTGGCAAAGGTCAGGGCCAGCCTGCCCATGAAGAGTTTGAAGAGTTTGGATTTGATATCCCGCTTTATCACTACCCTAGGGAGTCTCAAAGCGGCTAACAATCTCCTTTTCCCTTCCTCCCCCACAACAAACACTCTGTGAGGTGAGTGGGACTGAGAGACTTCAAAGAAGTGTGACTAGCCCAAGGTCACCCAGCAGCTGCGTGTGGAGGAGTGGGGAAGCGAACCCGGTTCACCAGATTACGAGTCCACTGCTCCTAACCACTACACCACACTGGCTCTCATGAGGTGGGCTGAGGCAGCGACACCCCAAGAGGCAGTGCCCATGCTGGTGCCCCACAGCCAGTGGAGAAGGGGTGGCGGCTACCAACTGTTAATGGAGAAATCTGAGGGCTCCCTTGGACAAAAAAACAAGGACACCAGCCAGGAATACCAGAGCAAAACAGCAGCCAGTAGGCTTGGTCTTTATTGAAGACTGTCGCGACCCGACTCCCACCTGCCACAAGGTGGAACAAGATGGAAGCCCCGAACAAAAGAGCCCCCAAACTTTTATTAGCTGCTAATCCCCATGTTACACCCCCCCCCCAAACTACATCACTAATGCATCATGGTTACATCATGAAAGGGGAGGTCTGGTGGCAGTAATCTGAGCATCCTGGACCCTGCCCCATGGTTCCCCTTGCCCTCCACCAAACACCCATCAAGTGTAACAAAAGAGATATCTACATTTCCCTGTTTCCCAGCCAAGTTAATCACACCCTTTTGTCTTCATCTGGGTTTCTTATTTCTGGAATGGCTACCTGTCTGGCACTCAGGTATCAGGATGCCAGGGATTATCACTCAGGCAGAGGGGCTGCTGAGTAGCTGAGCTCACATGTCTATATGCATTTCTGAAACTTTCCCAGTGAGCCAGTACACAGATACATTTATCAGTGAATTCTTACATTTGGTATCGTGCAGCAAAGGCCCTTTGAATAGATAGGAAGAAAGTGTGATGAAAAGTTTGTGGGGACAAATCACAAAAGTCACAAAAGCGATGGTGCTGATTTTGGTAGTGGGCTGCATGTGCATGATATCTGCTGGAGGGGCAACCCCCCCCGACCTATACATAAATTCCTGCAACACGATGAGAAATCTCGCCCAAACCTTACAAGTTCTAACCAGAACCCGGTGCTGCTATCCCTGCTTTGCTGACACTGCCATGCAGCCCATAGCTTTGGCAGGGCAGGGAGACTTCGCCAGCAGAGCAGACCTTTCTCTTTGGCCTCAGGCGGCATAATTGGAGGGGCCACCCCTGGTGAAGATAGTAGCTTTAAAACAGGGGTGGGTGATCCCTTGCATCAAAGGGGAGGGTGCCGAAGAAAAGCCTCTCACACTCCCTTTCATTGCGCAACTGCAACACGTCAACCCCACACTCCCATGAGGCTGGGTGAAGCGGGCACCTCAAGGAGAACCCCACAAAGGACCACCCAGCTCTGCTGCTGGTCTCCCTGGCTTCTAGGGGAAGAGAGGGATGGGCAGCAAAGCTCTGCAGAACACCTCCCTCTAGTGGCCTGGAGGACCACTCAGTTGAGTACTGATGGCCACTTCAAGGCCCCACTTGCCTCCCCCTCCTCCCTGTCCATTCTTTAATCCAGGATTGGTTAATTAGTCCAATTAGAGGACTTTCCAAAGCCCATCTCTCTGTGCAGGCAATCAAGAGGCCTGGCCAGAGTTCCAGGGCACAGGCCAAATCGCCCAAGGAGGTTAAGGACCAGGGACAGTGGTGTCACCCCAGGCCAGAGGTTCCTCCCTGCTCCTTTCAAATGTTCTAAACCAGGCATGGCCGGACTTGGCCCTGCAGATGTTTTTGGGACTACAATTCCCACCATCCCTTACCACTGGTCCTGTTGGCTAGGGGTGATGGGAGTTGTAGTCCCAAAACATCTGGAGGCCCATGTTCCCTGTATGCTATCAAGGGAGGTGTTTAATTTCATATAATCACAGAACTGTGGAGCTGAAAGGATAATCCAGTGCAACCCCCTGCAAAGTTTTGAAAAGAGCTGGGCTCAGGCATGAATAGAAGTCCTGCCGTTTTTCAGGGCTTTGGAAAACTGCTCCTTGGCATTAATGCTGCTCACAAGGAATGCGGGGGGGGGGTGATAACTGACTGCAGCCCCCCTTGTCTGCACCAAGGCAGAGGCTCCATTGCTGATAATAGTGATGGCTTCTTCTTTCAGGTGCTGGGTGGCGCTTTTATACAGAGGTGCAGCTTATGTTGCAAGCCGCTGAGGTGTGCAAATATGGTTTGACTGGGGGCCTGGTGGGATATTTCTCTTCTGGGTTTTCTGTGGCGGCATAATTTTAATAGAAGAATTATTACGTATTTGCAAATATCTGCACCCCTGTAATTCACTTTATTTTGCTGTTTTTAAGGAAATAAATGGTTGGATTTAATATTCAAATGGCTACTTTTACTCCAAATAAATATGTCCCTTTTCTGTTTGTTTCCCTTGCCAGCCTCAACAAGATCAGCCGCAGAAACAACCTAATTTTTATTTATAGGTGCTGGTGTGTTGGGACAATGCAACCCTAATCTCTGCCCACTTCACATTGTAATAAAGCAATTCGTTCAGGACAGCAGGTGCAAATGCTTTTATTGAAAGTAACTCTCAATCCAAACAAAGTAGCAAAGTCACAAACTTTCCATGTAAATAGCAACGTTATGAAAGCAGCGAAGATAATCTGCGTCCGGAGGGGTTTTTTTGCAAGCGAATCGCATGCACAAGGGCGCCCTCTGCAGGTGGAGCAAAGCAAGTTCCCAAGCAAATTTGGACAGAAAAGGAATTTACTGTATGCTCTTTCCATTTCCTGGCCAGGGCTAACCGGCAGTCAACTAATGAGGCCAAGCAAAGGTCACTGAAGGCGGTTTAGGTTCATCGTGTCCCACAAGGGGAGCACAGCCTTGTATGAGAGGCCGTAGAGGTCTTCCACCCTACATCTTAGGTAGGTCTTTGGTGGGAGAAGCAGGAATGGGAGGTTGGAGCCTGTGGGCTTAACTGAGGACCCACCAACCCTTTACGATATACCATATTTTTCGCTCTATAAGATGCACCAGACCACAAGACGCACCTAGTTTTTGGACGAGGAAAACAAGAAAAAAAATAATTCTGAATCTCAGAAGCCAGAACAACAAGAGGGATCGCTGCGCAGCAAAAGCAGCGATCCCTCTGGCTGTTCTGGCTTCTGGGATAGCTGCGCAGCCTGCATTGGCTCCATAAGACGCACACACATTTCCCCTTACTTTTTAGGAGGGAAAAAGTGGGTCTTATAGAGCAAAAAATACGGTATACGCTATCTGTATTGTCATTGTCCCATACAGAACAATGAAATTGGAAATCTACATAAAACATCCAAAACTCCCTAAAAACTCTGAAACCCCATTTTAAAATACAATATACTATAGAGACTCCTTATGCTGCGTTTAGAACCAGAATTGCATTTGCATAGAAACCGTTTCTCAGGCGGCTAGTCCTGGCCTTTATAACCCTGTACCTTCTTCCAGAAGGCAGAAGCTGAAAGAGATCATTTCCGGGGTGTGTACTATCCTACGCTATCTCTGCAGCTTTCTTATGGCACCTGACAGCATAGATTTGATCTAATAATTTGAGCACTGAGCAAGAGGGGGGTGTCCAGCTCATGTCCCACAAGAACTGAATGTACAGCTCGGAATGTGCCATGGGATATTCCGGGAAGTCCTGGTTTTCTATTATTTATTACATCGATATCTCACCTTTTCTGCCCATGGCCCTCAAGGTGGTGTATGCGCCTCGCCTCTCCCCTCGCTCATTTAGTCCCCACAACAACCCTGTGAGGTAGGTTAGGCAGTGACTGGCCCCCAAAGTGAGCCGCATGGTTGAGTGGGGATTCGAACCCTCGTCTCCCAGGTGATTCCAGTCGGACACTGAAATCACTGCACCATCCTAGGTGCCTCATTTGAAGGGCCACGTTGGGGTATTCTTAGAGAAGAAGAAGAGTTTGGATTTGATATCCCGCTTTATCACAGCCCGAAGGAGTCTCAAAGCGGCTAACATTCTCCTTTCCCTTCCTCCCCCACAACAAGCACTCTGTGAGGTGAGTGGGGCTGAGAGACTTCAGAGAAGTGTGACTGGCCCAAGGTCACCCAGCAGCTGCATGTGGAGCAGCAGAGAGGCGAACCCAGTTCACCAGATTACGAGACTACCGCTCTTAACCACTACACCACACTGGCTCTCACCACATTGGCTAGAAGAGGTTGCTTCTAGCCACAGCTTTCATTTTCCTCTGGAGCTGCCTTCCCCAACCTGGTGCCCTCCAAATGTTTTGGACCCCAAGTCCCACCAGCCCCAGGGATCATGGCCATGTGGTGCTGGGGGTCCCAAAGCTCCTTGAGGGCAGCAGGATTTGAGTGAGGCTAGCTCAAAGGGAAATGCGCTCGGCCGAAGCTCCCCAGGATTGAAGTCTTGGGACAACCAAGACTGGAGAAGGAGGACGGCACCGTAAATTGCCCTCCTCTTCCAAGTGACAGCTAACTCTTTCTCCTGGATCTTGCCTCTTCTCAGATCAGCTGCCTGCAAGGAGGCAATAACCCATAACAATCTATTATTCACCACTTCCTGAAACTCTACAGCTGTCACATTGGGTTAGTGTAAATTGGGCAGCTATCATTTATTTAAGTGCTTTCCCATTTTTGCTTGTGTCCAACCAGACGTGAGAATAAGCTGGGGTGATGAGGAGCTTGGGGGAAATCTCCAGCTTCTTTCTGAATTCTTCTCTCTCTCTCTCCTACCTACCCCACATGCAGAGACATCCCTCCCCTATGTGAGGCAGTGGGTCTGGATGCTAATTATGCCAGGCAGCATTGGCAAGAGCAAGTTGGGCTTTCAGCTGTGCAGATAAGAGCGAGAAGAGGGAGGAGAGCCCTGGGCCCTGAAAGGCAGAAAGCAGGCACCTGGCCATGTTGGTGTGGCCACTGAAATTCATAACTGCACCAATGAGCCTTTAATCTAGGGGGCTCACACACACACCCCACGCTCAGGACTGCCTTTGTGCTCCCACCTTGAGGTGTTAATGATAGGCATAAACTCAGGACG